AGAATAGAATGTTGTAGTAATCTTGGCTTTGGCTTTTTATTCTCCACTCCACCCCCGCAGGTCCGGAACCCATGAGCTAACACCTGGCCCCAAAGGAACACTGCCTCTCCCCCCCCCCCTCCCACAATATACCCCCACAGGCCACTGTACCATCCCCCCCCCCCCCCCTTTCATCTTTCCCCCCATCCCACGCGGTATCTGGATTTTGTGCCAATTTTGTAAAGCCTGCGAAAGTTTGCAAGGTTGGCACAGAATTCTGATATTCGCTCCTTCCCCAATTTTGCACCTTCCCTCACCTCCAGAGCTTGGTAATCGACACTGTCGCTTTCGTCATGGACACTCGACATCGCACCTTCCCTGAATTACCCTTGGTGATTCTCAGGGTTCTTCTCCCCCGGCTGGCTCCTCTTCTCTTCTTCCTCCTCCAACCATCTGCACAAATCCTTCAAGATGAAATACCAAGCCACCGACGTTACCAGTCTTGTGGTCCTCATCACCTGGGCTTGTGTCAATGTCCCAACCTATATCAACCCTCGGTTCATCTACATCCTACCGTCTCAGCCCGTGGTCACAACCTTGTTCACCACCGCTGGCCTCACATTCTGTCCCGGCCTCTTCGACGTCCTACAAGCCACTTCTCCACCACCAGTACTCTGGTTCAAGTCCATCGATCCATACATCCCTAAGCATGTCTGGGGTGTGTATGTCTTGGTCCTGGAAAAGCCTGGTCACCGTACTCTGATCTACGTTGGATCGGGAACAGGGGCTGAGAGAGGTGTAAGAGGACGACTGGGGGAATATATGAATGGCTACGGCTATGCCCGCTTCGTCTAGGAGGCGCTGAGGGCTGGCTACAAGATTGTACACACGGCATTGCTCGCCCAATGCCCCAAACCTGCTGCGGGAGACATACCCAGACTCCGTACTCTCGTCATTGCCGTGGAGGCTGCTTTCGCCTGCGCCTTTTGGGCCATGAAGTCTACCGAGAAGGACTACAGCTACGGAGATTTCTGTCCGTGGCCTCGACAATCTTTTCAATATGGTGGCCTATGTTCACACAATGCTCTCCTAGAAGGCGTCGGTGGGAATGAAAAGGACCTGGATTTCACCCCTGAAGAACTTGAGGAAATCGACGCGGCCGTTAAGGAGAAGAACCGACTCTACCAGAACGACTATGGACGGGAACTACGTGCCAATCCCACTGAGGCATACAAGGCTCGACAGAAAGTCAACAATGAGAAACAGAAGCCCGGGACCAAAGCCAGACAGATGACTGCTGTGGAGACCAAACAGTATCACTGTAATGTCTGCAATGTCTCCTGCCGGGATGCTGCCTCTCTCAAACGCCACAATATGACCCCTCGTCATCTCAGGAAGGTCAAAATGGGAGATTCAGACTTCATTTGTGATGTGTGCAACATCTCATTTCGCTTTCAATCCAATTTCGGCCAACATCTGAAGTCGAAGGGTCACATACAGAAAGCGACAGCGTCGAAAACAAGCTCAAACTAACATTCAACGTGTCACCCGTCTTGGACCGCTTTGGACCATATTGGTTGTCTGAACATGTATTAATTTTTTTCAACAGGATCTTAGTTCCAATGCTCGAGCCCTGCGCCGTCTCCGCACCGCCTGTGAGCGCGCCAAGCGCACTCTGTCCTCATCGGCTCAAACCTCCATTGAGATCGATTCCCTCTACGAAGGTATCGACTTCTACACCTCAATCACCCGAGCCCGATTCGAAGAGCTTTGCCAGGACCTTTTCCGATCCACCATGGAGCCAGTCGAGCGCGTCCTACGTGATTCCAAGATTGACAAGTCATCTGTCCACGAGATCGTCTTGGTTGGTGGCTCCACTCGTATCCCCAGAATCCAGAAGCTTGTTTCCGACTTCTTCAACGGCAAGGAGCCCAACAAGTCGATCAACCCCGACGAGGCTGTCGCCTACGGTGCTGCAGTCCAAGCCGCCATCTTGTCCGGTGATACCTCATCCAAGTCTACCAACGAGATCTTGCTCTTGGATGTTGCCCCATTGTCGCTCGGTATTGAGACTGCCGGTGGTGTCATGACTCCTCTGATCAAGCGCAACACCACCATCCCCACCAAGAAGTCCGAGACCTTCTCTACGTTCTCCGATAACCAACCTGGTGTGCTCATTCAGGTCTACGAGGGTGAGCGTGCTCGCACCAAGGACAACAACCTGCTCGGCAAGTTCGAACTTTCCGGCATTCCTCCTGCCCCCCGTGGTGTTCCACAGATCGAGGTTACTTTCGACATGGATGCCAACGGTATCATGAACGTCTCCGCCGTCGAGAAGGGAACCGGCAAGTCCAACAAGATTGTCATCACCAACGACAAGGGTCGTCTTTCCAAGGAAGAGATCGAGCGCATGCTCAGCGAGGCCGAGAAGTACAAGGCTGAGGATGAAGCTGAGGCCGCCCGTATCGCTGCCAAGAACGGCTTGGAGTCATACGCCTACTCTCTCAAGAACACTTTGGCCGACTCCAAGGTTGACGAGAAACTCGATGCCTCTGACAAGGAGAAGCTCAAGTCTGAAATCGACAAGATCATCTCCTGGCTCGACGAGAACCAGACTGCCACCAAGGAAGAGTACGAGTCTCAACAGAAGGAGCTTGAAGGCGTTGCCAACCCCATTATGATGAAATTCTACGGTGCTGGTGGTGAAGGTGGCATGCCCGGTGGAATGCCCGGCGGTGGTATGCCTGGCGGACCTGGTGGCTTCCCTGGCGCTGGTGGTGCTAGCCACGGCGATGATGGTCCAACTGTCGAAGAGGTTGACTAAATGGCTTCATAACGACCAAAAGCACATAAGCATGAGCGGCTTGAATTCTTGTGTCAATCATACCGGCGTTGGCGTTGTCAATGGGATATGGGAATGATACCTCTTTGCATGGCATAGAGTTTTTTTCAGCATCATCCTGTGCATGGAATGAATTAGTGAGGATTATGGGAATCATCTCAACAAATGATGGTTACAGGGGAAAGTCAGAATCGGGATGACAGAGCTTAGAATTAGCTTTTCAATGCACAATCCATTTCAAAATATGCTGCGAGACTTGTTATAGTCTGTGTGTGTTCCACTTGTAATTCCGCACTGTTGCTATTGTGCGTCACTGCTCCAGCACCTCATACACGTGTGCCATGGCGGCGCCAGATCACCTGCGATATCCCGACACTCCGACATTCCGATTATCGCATCTGGCGATGTTGCCTCACCAACCACTAGCCACAAATTCTAGGATCGTTGAGGATTTCGGGTTACTCACGATTAAGTTGGATTCATCTTTGCGCCACAATGTTCCGCGTATTGTCTGACTGGCAGAAAGACGATCTCGTTGTGGAAAGAAGTGTCGACTTGGATCCAAGACATGCTTTCGTTGTGTTGGCCGTTGTCCTTTTCAAGTTGTTGTGCTTGCATATACATATCCTGTTCCCAAGCTCAAGGACCCGGCAACCCACCTCATGGCCATCCTGGGATCGGCTGCAACATAGTGTCAATGTCTAAAAGGATCCGACACAGATCCACTCGTATTATATGACCTCTCTTCCCGCCTTGCCCCTTGTCGACCCACGTGTTGAGTCATGACCTCGCTATACCCTATGAAAGAGGACCTCCTACCAAACATGGCTATATTGCGTGCGTATTTTCACCGCCACGACCAGTCTGAGTTTTTTTTTCGAGGCCAAAATCGACATGATTCGAGGTAACATCCGTGGCTCTTGTAACAACGGCGGCTTCTTTGGTGACTAAAAAGGCGTGGACTTGAAGTTGTAGAGACGTGTCCTTTTCGATGCCACTAACGACGAGTCCAGACATAGCATATCATTGATCCCCCGAACGATTCTGTTCACAGAGAGAGATATAGAGGGAATACCTCTTCTTCTCAGGATACACGGATCTCGCTCGAAAAGACTGATTCTCGATAGTTCCCTTCCTCCAACCCCAGCGGACAATATAATATTCGAGGTAACGGACAGGTCTCAAACCCAACTACATCTCCCACCCCACCAACCCACGGTTTCTTTGAACACTAAAACAAACAGGACAAAGAGACGGCCCATCATGCACACCACTTTTGCCTATCTGGTCAAGCTCCCCCACCTGTCCACCCAAGAGTTTATCAATTACTATGAGACGAAGCATATCCCGATGATCAACCGACTCGCCGGCCCAGAGAACCGGCCCCTGGTGTACAAGAGGCGGTATACCCATCGCGACGACCCGGCGTTTGTCTTTGTGCGAGCGACCGTCGACGCCAAAGGTACGCCGGTGGCCACTCCGCCGTCCTCCGGTTCCGGTGATGGCGCGGCGGCGGCCAAGCTGGAACTGGATCCCGGCAACGTCGACTTTGATGTCATGACCGAGATTGGATTCGCCGACGAGGCGGCAAAAATGCGCTGGTTGATGGCACTCGGGCAGGGTGAGAATGGGAAGTTGGTCAAGGAGGATGAGGAGAGGTTCTTGTGGAGGGAGCGCACGCGAGCTGTCGTCGTGGAGGAGTTTGTGAGCTTCGGCTGAGCTGAGCCTTGCGTACACGCGTTGAAGTACTCGATGCGGAGCTATGGGGGAGTTTCTCGTCCTGCGAATGAGTGCCGGTCTCATCTCCATGATCTGTGGTGAAGTATAGCGAAGCAAGGAGTTGAGTTATCAGACAGCACATCTAGTGCTTTGCTGCCGTTTTGGGTCGAGCAAGCAAGCATAACGTCAGTGTCGAAATCGCACTGCGGAGACGGAACCACAATATCCTCCCAATATGTACCTCAGAGTAGTCATTTTATGCCATCGTTGGGCGTGACAGCGAGTCTGCCATCGAATATTACCTGAATATGACGCCACGAACGGATCGATCCACAGAATTGAAATTGCCCTACTTGTAGGTCTCACTGACACCCAGGGCAAGATATGGTCTATCATGCGGCCTGTGAGGTGTCTCGTCAGATCTTTGGCTTCCTTAAGGGTGTAGTAGATGTGATGACCTAACCAGAGTATCGATCCGTCGCCTCCGCAAGCAACAAGCCACCGATCAATGGGAGACAGCGAAAGAACCAGACACAAGTCCATGTAGGTATATTGGCCCTATAACGTATAGAGCAACTACATCGACGTACATGACATTTTAGTGGACAAGACCAACCGTCTGCTCCCGGACAAAGGGGGTCAGCCTCGACGCGTGCAGTGGTTAGAAGACATGTTGAGATATCATACTTCGAAGGGACACGTGCTAGAGGTGCAAAGTCTACGCGAGCAATACCACGATCTCTGACCTGAGCTTGGTCGAATGAAGTACAGAGGGCTGCGTGGGTCAGGTGCCGGTGTCGGTGCCTAACTTGGCAATATCTCTCACGATGAACTAACTATTAGCCATTTGCTTTGTGTTGTCCAAGTCGCACTGCCAGCGGGCCAGCGGTTGCGGTTAGCATTGATGTGAGAAGTGGCTGATTATCGATACGTCCAGGGGAAAACTGGATGCTGGTTTGTCTTGTTCAGCCATGGTTATGGAAACAGGGACTTGCAACCCGCGGCATTGGTAGTGAAAGTGTGAGAAGTGCAAGAGAATATGGGAATACAGTATTCCATGTCAGGAGGACCTTGGATCGTGCTATAATAAGCACCGCGGGTGATGTGCAGGGTTTGATATCTGTAAAGCTGGGCTATCCCTTCTGCAACCAACTTTTTGTATGTTGAGGGGTGTCGATAGACCTTCTTCGAGCTTCTTGCATGCAGGATCTGTATGGCATCATTATAGCTGCTTTAGCATGCCGTCTTAGACGCCGCATCCCGTGCATGATTGCGAGGGCTTAAACAAGATTGCTTTTGTGAGATAACTGGACGTTTAGAAGATGCTGTGAAATGGTCCGTCTACCTTCATGCTGCCCTGGGAATCGAGCCAATTAGAGGAGATGAAACTTATTCCGAAAACAGTCAAGGTTTGGCCACAACATTCTTTCATTCGTCGAATTGACAACGCTAGCTATATACGGGATCGGGTGTTGTCACAGTACGGTACCACCAGTACTCGGAGTCAATTCTGCCCTCCCTGTTCTTGTACTTGTAGGGGTGAAGATAAACCTCAATGAGCGCCCCAGAGGTGATCAAGAGGTTACCAAGACTGCGTTTTGTACTTCGCCCGAGAAATGGCGTCGCAACATGCAGACACGAGCGGTCGGTAATATCCACCAATGAAGCCCGGTGTACGTAAATGTTGGTGGGAGGAATATGAGCAGTCAGTGTGGACAGATATGGGAGCTTCGTGCACACAGCCTCTTTCTGACTGATGGGCGTCAAATCCCAAGGACCACGCTATTCTTGAGCCCTTGTCACATTGGCTGCTGTCCAAGAACCAGCAAACAAAAGTTGCCGTTGTAAGGGCTCATGCTAAGCGCAAATCAAACATGTCCGCCGAGACAGGGGCCAAGCAATTCTCCCGAGATTCCAGGTCGCAGGGGTTTTTCAGCCCAACCATGTAGCCAGAGTTCGCGATCCGCAGGTCTTGACGCTGTTGCTAAGGTGCCTTGGATCTACAGTGTTGTTACCGCCTACCCAGAGTGGAACCGTGACTAAGGAGAGTGAGTTTAACGACATCGCTTGAGAGGGAGAGAAAGAAAGACAGAGAGTCGTAAAGCAGCCGATGTACGCCTGAATCAACGCAGATTTTGAAACCGAGCCCTAGTTGTTGAAGTATGAGTGCGAAGTTACAAATTACGGCCTCTATCTTCCACCCCAGAGTTTTCAAAGTCAGTTGGCAGCAGACATGACAAGAGGAAATGGCGACGGCAGGCAAAATACACTCGTGGATACACCATGACGACCAAACAGATCCATCATCCCTGAAAAGCCAGGTGTTTCGCCATGTGGCTGCGCACCGACAATGGAAACGTCTGCAGCGGACGCGGAATCTGCGGGTCTCAGCCCTGAACTTGTACCACACATTTCAAAACCAGGGTGGGCAGACTGCACAGATCGACGCCCATTTCGCTGGATCCTACGACCCCTTTGATACTCTACCCATCCCCCACACGGCTCAGATCGACGAGCTACTCCAATTCGACCAGCTCCATGTCTCTCCAGCAATGGGCAGCTCCACGATCCCTCTGCACCCATCGGCGACGTATCTTCAAGATGAACTGGCCGCGTACGGGTACTTGGCCCGCATCGCGGCGATCAAAGCGCGGTGCGACCCGAAACCAGAGATCTTCAATCTGGTCCTCAAGTTGAAAACGAAGGCGATGCAGCAACTCCGCCTGAGCCTTTTCCAGACGGGCCTCACGCATCTTTGTCGGCCGGTCATGTCTCTCCTGTACGCGGAGACGTGGTGCGACAACCATGCGGCGGTGGCGGTCCATCTTCGCCTGCTGGAGGTTATCAACAACCAGTATGGAGCGAAGTCTGAGGATCTTATCTGCATCCTCCACTCGGACACCCAGCGCGCTACCCTAACACTAGCAAGCCTGCTGTTCACGATGGACGACAGCACATGGGATATGCTGGAGGCAGACTATGCAGTATTTGTACCCCTTCCGTGGCTTGAGGACGACACTGGCGATGGCATTCCATGGCCCTGGCGCCGCTTGATACTTGATCTGAGAAACGCCCTCGTGGCCATCAGCGTGGTGCGAGCGGCCGAGACACCATGGGCTGTTCGACACGCCGCCACGGTCAGATTTCTTCACATCATGAGGCTTCTACTCGAACAGTACAATTCGAGCTCCAACAATGTCGAGAAATGCGCGGCTTTGGCGGCTCTCTACCGGCTCCGTCTGGCGGCCAATATGGAGCGGATACCGCTTTTTGACACCACCGTGTTCAATGCAGGAAGGCTGATCCTGTGGAGACTTAAAGAGCTGCTCGCTACGATGTCTAACGAGTCGCCCGGAATACGCCTGTGGGTTCTATTCGTAGGGACAATGTCGGGCGACAGTTGGTTCGAGGAGGAATTCAGGGGGCAAGCAGAAACACTGGGACTGGTGAACTCGGACGATGTCAAGGCTGTCCTCGGTGTCTTTGAGGGCGGAGACCTACCAGGTATAAGGGTCGACCAGCTCGTTAATCCTTCGTGTTGAATGGTAATTCATTGAAAAAGGTATTCTGTCCGCCTGAGCTGCAGTCCTGCAACAGGGTATTTTATGCACAAGGTTTTGTCCTTGTATTTCAATTCGCATGAATAATGGTGGTCTTATCAGCGAGAGAGGGTCGAGTAAAGCCCTGTCGCAAGGCTGCGGGTTCCGGCTTCCACATGATATTTATGCACGAGACTTTTGCATTACTTAATCTAGACTAGTCTGGGCCAGTGTAAAGCGGCGACTGCGGAGCACCGTTTAGCACCTGCCCGAAACTACGTCGCGCATGGGTCGCTTCCTTTCTAGTCACGTAGTGGTACCAAAAATTGATCATTCTCGCGCAGAGGGCCACGACCGTTCACTTCTGAAGCCCGAGGAAGTATGATCGAAGAGATGTATCACCTTGGCATGTCACCCAGTGCATTCTGCCGCGAAACTCATCCAGATGACAGACCACAAGGTCACGGGCGTGACGGTGGTCGAGGGCCCTTCTCCCGAAGAGTGGGCCTCCATCAAGGGAATCTTCATTGAACTATATGTCCACCAGGGGAAGAAACTTTCGGAGACCAAACAGGTGCTGGCGGAGCAATATAACTTCCATGCAACGTGGGTTTGGCTCCCGCCCCTTCTGACCTGAGTTCTTGGGCTCTCAGCTGACACATGGGATCACTGATGCAGCGAAAAGGCCTTCAAGAGACGGATAGCAATATGGGGAGCGTTCAAAAACTACAAGTCGACCGAGAAAGAGGCGGTCGCGAACTTGATGGCGTTGGCGCGATCTGAACGCACGGATTTAACCCTGTCTACTGCCCAGCTGCATGGGAAGCCCATCAAATGGGATCGCATCAGACGGTTCAGCAGCAGACCTCAGGGGCGCAGAGGAGTACGGAGAACGACCGGAATCACACCGATAGGCGAGAAGATTTACCTCGATCTACATCCGGACGCATTTCGGTCGACCGTAGACATTGACGAGCGCATTCTGTTCTTAACCAAGTCTTACCTAGATTGGAATGTTGCGGCCTGGAGTCCACTAGGCTTTGCGAACCGGGAGCGACGACACGAGCTCTCAGGTATCGCTTGTCTAAACGGGGACAGCGTATCGCAAGTGTTCAACAAATGCTTCTATAACGCGATTCCTTTGCTCCTGACGAACAATACCGCCGAGGCTTTCCAAGAAATTAATCTGGCCTGCAGCCTGGCATCGCACTGCCTCCAAACAACTCCATACTGGGTATTCCTGCGACTTCTTCGACTGTACTCATATCCACTTTGGGGCCGATTCCCAGATGTGCGGCGCCAGATAGTGCGATTCCTTCAAGCCTTAGCTTGTCGTACCCTTGCAGAAGGACATGTCTTGAAGCCTCTGCTCAAGGTCTGGACACAGGGAGAGATTGAAGCCAACGCCGGCCGGGTCTCTTCGATTCTCCGCCTGTCTTCGGACAGGTTTGGCCCTAACAGCGGTCTGGATGTCGAGGAATGGGCCTGGATCCAGGATGAGATCTGCTCGCTGAACTATCAGAGGAGAGAATTCTCTGACGCGCTCCGCATCGCCCAGAAGCTTGCAGCAGACCCGAGTGTGCCCCGGGGCGTGCACATCACGGCGCTCCAAATGATTGCACGGCAACATCTCCAGAAGGGCAACATCGAGGCCGCCGAGCCCATCCTCCTCCAGACGCTGACCATGTGTGACAGTTACGAGCATGACGACGATCGTGCTCGATTCCTCCAGCAGACGTATTCCGACATGGGCTACATGTATGGTGTCCGGCAGAACCGCGCCCGAAGTTCCCATTACTATCAGCTCGCTCTCGAGAAAGCGGTCCAAGTGCAAAACCCCGCGAACATTGCGTCGATACGATGTCGCGTTGAGGCCATGGACATGACCGACCACCATGGCACCTACCACCAGACCAGCCAAGCGCAGCCGTCGCAACCACAGAGTCGCACTAGCTGGGCGCTATGGGCGTTTTGTCGGCCCTACTCTTAACTGACCGCGGAGAGATTGATCTTGTTTACTGTTAGCTTCACAGTCTAGGTTCTTCTGGAAGCGTGGTACTGGGTCTACCTCCGTGCAGTGAGTGGTTTCGGTCAAGGCGAGTGAGTGGTGACGATTGAGATTGATGGGTAGATTGATACTCACTCATTGGATCTCTCTCTCTGTCTGTCTCTCTCATACCATATACCCAGTCCACTGGCACAGCTGTCATTGCTGTCTGTCTACTGACCCTCGTTTCCTCGAAAGACCCAGCAATCAGTCCTCGCACGCGAAGAAATCCCAGAATGCGAGAGACGGCAACGAAATCAGCTTCGAAGACACAACCCAACTCCCTACTTTTGATCTTGATCTTTTCATCTTTTCATTTTTCCATTCGGGACTTCATATTTGTCTTTGCTACTTCCTGCTGTACCAAGTACCAAAGCTGCAAGGATGTCGCTGGATCGGAGCTGTCCGATCACACAGATTGAGTAAATGAATGAACAGGCCTTTTCGACTTCTCACAAAAGCCCAAAATCAACATATGTATGGAAACCGCTTTCCCTCCTGGGTTCCCTGTACATGGTATCCATCCTGCTTTTTCGCGATCCTCATCTTTAATCCCTTCTCGTTCCGTCAATCACCCCTCGGCTTCAACGATCCAACGGGTTTCCTGCATCAACAATCAAAAGTCATTTCGACAGCAATTGATTTGGTGGCAAACAAGGCAGGAATCCGCACCACTCGCATAGCCCTGTGTCTGTCTTCCACCAAACGCTGAGCTGGCCAAGAAAAGCCTTGATGCATTGGCCCCATTCATGATTGAGCTTTACCGTCCCTGAAAGCATCAATTCTCTCCCTCTCCGAAGGCTCCAGACTGTCGTAGTAACGTTCCGCCAGGCCGCCTTCCCAACTATCCAGCCCAACTTTGTCCTTAACCGCGATGAATGGGCTCCGATAAACACTAGCCATCCCCTTATGTTTCTGAATATAGTAGCCTGCGACCCTCGCCCAGAATCCACCCCTTGCAGACCAATCGCTCAGCTGTTTCGGGATCGGGCGATCGTTGAGCAGCAACCCAGTCGGTCCAAGTGGACGTTTCTCCAGAGATTGGACAAGAAGGGGTGACGGGTCGGCCATAGGAGGCGGAGGAGAGAAGTGGATTGTCGAGGAATGCGGCAGAATTGGCTTGGGAAGCGCTTGAGGCTTTGGTTGCATCATGCCGCCATGGACAGTTGTGTTGAGAGGATCGAAAATTGAGCGCTTAGGAATGTAATTGCTGATTTGTAGATTGATGCTCGCAGCAGGGAAGGGCGCCATGTCATGCATCATGTCCAAATCCATCATGTCCATCGAGGCGCTCCTTTTAATTCCCATGTGACTCAAAGGGAGGGAGACGGCCGATGACAAACCTAATCCAGAGAAACTGCCTCTCGCAGAGCGATGTCCTGCACTGGACCCAGGTGGGCTGATCTGCGTAGCATTTGGGTTGATAAATTGAGGTGGGTTCTGCGGATCTAGTGGTTGCATCGAAGGGCTCGTAGCGGATGAGTTGGCATGCTGCATAAATGAAGGCGAGGTGTCATGTTGCTGCAGGCTGGGACTGGGCATCATGTACGAACTGCTCGGCCTGCTGCCAGCTGGAGAGTGCTTTCCTGCCTCCTTTTGAGCCTTGATTTGATCGGGGCTTTTGAATGGGTAAGCCGGGTTGGAAATCCGGCGTCGACGCTCGACTTCGGCAGAAGGTGGAGGCAGAGGTGGTTGGCTTGCGGCGGCACGGATGGTTTCGATGCGGGGCTGTTGATATGGTGTGCTTGTAGTGGAAGTTCCTTGGGGACTGTGACTCGGACCGCTGTGATACGGAAACTGAAGGTGGGATTGTTGCACATATGAAGGGAAGGAAGAAGTGGCAGGGGATTGGGGTCGGCCATATTGGGGTGAAAGCATCGAGTTGAGACCTGAATTTGGACCATGTCCAAAACTAGGGCTCCGCTCTGTGGCGCCAGGATTCATCCAGTCGCTGCTATATTCGTACTGTTGTGACCTGATGTTTGAATTCATCATTGTAGGACCGTAACGCCCAGTGTTGTCGAGTGTAGTGAAGCTCGGGAAGGGCTCGTACTGTTTGAGCGGGGGCAGCGATGGATCGTTTGACCACTCCTTCATATGCTTAGCATGTTGAGATGCTTGTTGTTGGAAGTGCCTCTGGCGCTGGACAGCTTCGAGATCAATCCCAATGCCACCATGACGTATGGAGGTACTGGAGCCTTCTGCGGCGTCAAGCTGGCGGACCTTGGCTTGTTGTCGCTGGAAGATCCGCGCCTGCTCGTTCAGGCGAGCTTCTTGGCCAGTCATGATGTCTTTGTACTGCGATGGTTTGATCTGGCTGGCTTTGATGGGCCTTGCTTGATTGCTTCCCATCGTGAGATCTTGTGTCGTTCCGCTGAAAGTCCCTGGAAGGGCTGAACTCTGCAACTGCTGTTTATCGACATTCTGCCTAATGCTTGCCATTGCAGCATTCTTTGCGGCAAAATTGACTAATGGGTGGGAAGCCGAGAACGCTTGCCGCTTGGGTTGAGGTGGTGGTGCCATTGCCTTTTTGGAAGGCATGACTATGTCGAGGAAGTTTGCGGCAGGATCATGAACCGGTTTGTCAGGATCGGCCGTATAGAATGCCTTTCCTTCCGACGAAATCTCTCCAAGGTACAACCACAGTTGTTTTTCCTTGGCCAGATCAACGGGCTTCTGTGCTTTGTTCACGGGAGGTAGAGAACAGACAAATTCTGCCCATTCGGTTCTTGGCTCCTCGGTGAACAGGTCGCCTGGACTTGGCTTCTTCTCGGTGGACTCGGGTAGTGAAGCAGTCATGCCCTGGAGTTCTTCCGGTAGGTCGAGCGCATTTGCACTTGGCTTCTGTAGATACGAGGTGGCGGAGTCGACGAACAGGATCGAAGTGGGATCTACTTCTTTCACCTGTTTCAGATCTGGCAGTATCTTGACAAGCACAGAGTCTTGACCTTCGTCGTACCCAGCGATAACCAGGCCGGCTTCAATATCGTCGAAATTGGTTGCCTGAAATTGAATAAGCTCCCCTTTCTTGAGGCCGAAAAGGAACCGTCGGAACTCAGCATTCTGCCAGCAATTGTTTGCGTGATTGCAGGCCGAAAGTTCACTGGTGATTCTTGTGCGTTTGACTGTACGGTGCAGACGACATCTCCAGTCGAAGCCGATATCGCGATACTCCACCCCTTCGTGCCAAACAGCGATTTCGCCCTTGTCGACTTGAACACCAGCTTGCATTGCACAGGTCGCGTGGAACGATTTGGTGCATTTTGCTGATGAGCATTGAAAGCACGATCCTTTTTTCTGCCGGCACTCGTGGCATTTGAGTTCCAGACGATCTTTGCTGATGTTCTCAACATTATGGACCATTTCTTCGCCGTCATTGCTAGCAATGTAAGTTTCTGGCGTGTACATAGCACAAGTTCTGTGTGCACGCTGGCCTTGTGTCGTCGGCAAAAGCTCCTCCCAGGAGAAGTCGTTCGGGCACAGGCAGCAGGGCTGGTTCTTGCTGACTTTTCTGATCTTGATGATTTTCCTGGCCTTCTTGTTAGGAGCGAGCTCCTTCACAGCACGTTTTCTCTTCTGTGGAATCTTGATCCTGCCTCTATCGCTACTGGGAGGCGTGGGCAGGTCTGTTGGTTCGTCCTCATCTTCGTCGTCGGTAACCTCAACTTCTTCAAACTCAGGTGTAGGCTCGCCGTTCATCCGGCGGACAAACCAGTCCACATCGATGAAGACACTGTCGGCTTCGCATTGGCACTTGCGCGCTGTCTTACCATATTGCAACCAGTTTTCAATTGCGAAATTGACAGACTCTGCGCAGTTGTAACCCAGATTGTAGCCGGAGTGATATCCAATGGGGAAGGTGATGACAAATTGGCCTTCACGATGAACAACTTTATTGACGTTGACCCCAAACTTCGATTTTAGGATTGCAGGCGAGACGAGGTAAGTCTTGTGGCGCAAGAACTGATCACAGTCCTTAGCATCTGAGGACCAGATAGACTTCATGGCCGCTTCAAATTTGGGGGCGTCCTTTTGAGATATGCTGTACCATTGCTTTGGAGCACCGAAATGGATGTAGTTGATACTGTAGAGATCCACGTCTTCCAAATGCCATGCAAAAGTTGCTCGCCACATCCCAAGGTACAGGTAGGCGGTATTGACACCGGGGATAGGTTGTCCTAAAAGGTCCAGCAAGTTTGGTAGTTTTGCGACATTCCACTCCTTGGTATCATCATCAAACAAAGAGCCCGGCATGTCAGCAGCATACATGGGGTTGCTGAAGTTCAGACTTTTCCAGTATTTCTCTTCGAGTTCGTCGCATCGCTCGGGCGTCCACTGGTCGTTATCGTATACCCTATAATCAAAATCCCGGAAAGCCTCCTCGTCGATTTCATCCATGGCCTCCCGGGCGTTCCGTAGTCGGCGGGCGGCAACAGTGGTCTCTGCCCCCTTGCCAACACTCGAAGTTTCCTTCTTGTTGGCGTTTTTGGGTGGCCGTCCTCTTGGTCTGCCAGTACCAGGTGGTCTGCCCCTCCCTCTCTTGGCCTTGGTTGGAGTTGGGTCAGCAGTTGTGGAAGCCGCCTCATCATCTGCTTCCTCATTTTCCAGACCCGTTGGCTTCACCTCGGGACTGGTAGGCGTCGGCGGGGCAAGGAGGGTAGAATCATGGTCGGTGGGTTCCTCTTTGATAGGAATGGATTTGGCGCGACTCAAGGCTCTTCTGGAAGCCTCGGGTGTTGCTGATGCTTCGGTTTTCCTGCTGCGAGCGGTTCCTCGTCCGAGTAATTTGTCAGCGTTTAGGCGCTTCTCACCACGCTTGGCGGGTGGTTGGTTTTCGGTCTGCTCGCAGAGGGATTTCCATTGTGGAAGGGTATAAGACCGCATCTTCTCCATATTTCTTTGGGTGTAGATCCCTTGTGCACCGTGGAATTCCTGGGTGATGGGATTTTTAATCCTGATGGTCTTGACCATTTCGTCCAGAGCCTTCCGAGCGCGCTTCCTATATATGTAATCAGCCTGGTGGTCGAAGAACAAATGTCATATCGGCCGGGCGGCAGCATGTCTTGGAAGAGAAGCGGCATACCATTCTTCAGGAGGATCGATGAGGACGATACCTGACTGCATGCCGTAAGGGTCCACGCCCTTGACATATCTTTGGAAGTCCTTAAACTGGGCCATTGTCTGATGTCCATATTTGTTAGCCTGTCTTTCTGTACTTCCTCCTCGTATCGGGCCAGGTTATCGGTTGTATGTGGCGCCACGTACCGGAGTAAAGATCGGAACTCCATTCTCATATCTGTCGGGTTTGACCTCCGAAAACTGTTCGGCTTCTGCGCCAGCGCGTGCAGCCTCCTCAAATCTCATCCTGTTTTCCTCATCATCAATGTCGTCGTCGAGTTCGGAGAGCGAGGAAGTCGAGGCGGCGTCATCATCCTTATGACTCCCCTCGTCGGTAGTGGGAGGGGTATGGACTTGAGGAGGTAGGGATAGAGACTGGGACGCGGTCCCTTGGTTGTCCAAAGCAGAGGCACCAAGCCCGTCGGGGACAGGGTGGGTGGCGGTCGTGGGCATGGTGACTGCTGCCATGGTCGGAACAAGAAGGGTGGGAAAGGCTGAGGGACGGGTATAGTGGAGGTGGCGAGGGGACGGAGTTGGGTCAGGTTGTGTCTAAGCACATGAAGAGAGTTGCAACGACGTCCGTCGCGGACTCTAACCACGAGCTTTGGACCGGAACAGAGGGCGACGTCTATCGTAAAGGAATGCGATGTTCGATTACACTGGCGCAGGACTGGGCTGCGATGGGGGGAGTCGGGACGTTGAATCGAGCAGTCCTGGATGGTGACCAATATGGTTTAGCGTGATGAAGGAACTATCTTCTTGGCGGGCTAAATGCCGGTCGTGCATCGGCGCTATCAGGCCACTGAAATACCCAGCCTGAAGACTACATCGTAGGAAGCAGTACAAGTACTGCGCTGTGTGGATACAAGCAATTGTGCTTGAAAACAAACCATTGTTGCTGGACTTATTGACTACATATACGAAATATTCCTTACTGCTATATCAAAACCTCTGCACCACACGCGTCGTCACTACTCGAACATCAACTGTAACTAGTGTCATCATCCTGCACCGCGCATGCGCCTCCTCTCAAGCCTCCCACCACTCATTGGTTCGCTTGGTCGATCCAGGCACAACACCCCCGGACCGGCCTGGACCTGCGACTGCAAACCATCCCCCGCAAATGCGCACAAAAACTTCTGTCCTGCCACTCTTCTCCCTGGTTAATCAGCTCCCCTGCCACACATTCCCATTTGTCCAAATTATCAGCCAACCAGGGACAATACCATCGTCCGATTTGGGATTTGGCTCATGTTAGTACTCGCTCAAAGCAAGCTTCTTGCCAACAGTCCTTCTTCTTTGCGCAATTTGTTCCGCAGGTTTGGGTTGATCCTTTTTCAGGGCTTGCAACAGCATGCCAGCGTCGAAGAAACCATCTAAAGGGAGGGGAAGGAAAGCAGGTCAGTAACAAGTCTGCAAACGGCCACAATGTCGGGCGAAACTTACATCCACCCAATCCATCATCCTCTACCTCTGCCGTGTCTAAGCTTGTAGGAGTCTGGAAACCATCAACCTTTGACGCTTCGGTCTTGATGATCCGACCCCGAGACTTGAGGCGGCCGTCCTTGCCCGCCTTTTCTTCTGCCTCTCGGGCCCGCGTGATTTTAGATGCTGCAGCGTCTTTCGTCTTGGTAGCCCTCAAAAGCCGGCGGATTTCGTTCAAGTATGACTCTAAACTGGCTACAAAACGTTGAGTTTGCCGGTGCTTGCTGCTGGCACAGACTGAGATGGAGTCATCTTTGATGATGTATCCAATACCGAAACCATCTCCGGAGGTTGGTCCGAAACCAAAGTGGTGTAAAGACGGATTGCCACAGTTGGAGGTACTGATGATGGTGTTGTTGATCTTGTCCCAGCCAGCATCACTAAATAGGGCCGGCATCTGCTGCAAAGCTGGAGCCGGTGAACGGCTGGACTCGGTCCCAGTACGAGAACGGCCAATGGGCGAAGAGGGCTCCTCGAGTCGCCTTGGACTACCCATATCGCTCACATCAGTGGGACTAGAGTAGCCGTTCGAGCTGAATCCAGTAGTGCTGCCGATTTCAGCGGATTCGTCGTTCACCTTGCGCTGCCAAACGCAGTAGAGAGCATATAGATGACGGTCTGGGCCTTGTGCTTTACTTGAATCCTTGGTGATGGCGGTGTGTTTCTGTGTCGCCACTCGCAGAGCATCGACCTTCTTCGAAGCGGCATTATCTGCCCAAAACGTTTTGACAAAGTCGACACACTCGGGTGTCACTGATCGAATGGCTTCTGTCCGACCATGGAAGAATGTTTTGGTCATGGCAGGTTCGTATGTGTTCTCAACACGGCCATACAGACCATAATATGCAGCTTGGAATGCCATTTGAACAAATGCATCAGGCGAGAAGCCCATGGAGGTGATGAAGTTCTTGCCATAACCAGTGAAATCTAGTGTCTGAAACTCATTTTGGTTGATCAAATCTGCTAACCGGGTCTCTGCAAACCGCAGGGCGATCTGCAGTTCGGGGGTCATGTCCCACTCGAGCTTGTGAGGAGTGGTGCTCACGTCGCCAAAGCTGTCGGGGTCTCGCTTCGACGGGTCCGGGCTCTGGCTTGTCCACAGCGTTGGCGCTTGGCCGTTGATGGACTTTGCAAATCTCAAAATCGTGTCTGTGTAGACGTCGCTGGCGAATCGGAGGACCGTATGGCCATCCACACCCGTGTGCTCGAAATTGATGCCAGCACTGCCGTTCTTGCAAACGATAATTTGGAGCTTGTCATACCATCTATTGGTGCAGGTCCCAACTTGGACACCACGCTCGACCTCACTAGTGCCGCAGAGCATGTTGCCGCAGAGCTGAGAGACACTTGCGGGTTCGGTATAATCCAGGCAGATCATGAATAGGGCGGAGTCAACAATGTTGAGGCAGTCCGCATTGTTGGAACCTTCATCCCTGGTCAACAAATCGCGCAAGTGTGACCAGGTCTTTCGGTTCTCAGTGCTGAGCACGCCGATCGCGCCTTTGGCTGCCTCCTGTATAGGGATCTGCTCGGCATCATCGACAATAACCTGCAAATTGATGGCGAGATCCTTTTCAGTCATGATCAGGTCGTTATTGTCGTCGAGAACATCAAACCAATAGAACTGACCGCGGCACATGACGACGACATGTTTGGAGTCGGAATCCTGGCCGATGATGCAACCATTCTCTGTAGGCACTCGTGCAGTCCCAAAGAGTCGCGAGTACTGATACATGCATAAGGGCGTCCCTCTGAGCGTGTCGGGCGGCAGCTCTTCTTTTCGCACAGCCCTGACAAAGCAGAGAGCAGAGATCACCAGAGATGCCGCCCTGGTTACTTGGTTATTCCGCGCCGGGGTCGGATCGTCCTCCAGTAGAAAGAAAGGGTTGAGGTTCAGGACGACGGGGTTGTCATAGTTCAAGTACGAGTCATACCAGAACTGCTCGATGTAACTGGTTCGGCCCGTGGCATATTTCTTTAATCGTTCCTGCAAATCCTTACCGTCGTTCTCAAGAAAGTCCCGAACAGCAGCCTTTGTATCGTTGTGCTCCTGTGGGGACTGTAGCGGAGCCAATGCATCAAGGTATTTCTTCATGGTCACATCCAATTCGGGTATGGGCAGCTTCGGTAGCTTGTCCTGGGCCGCGAAGGTGATTCCTGGTTTAACAGGTTCCTGTTTCAAAGACATAGGCTCTTTCTCCACCTTGGTATACGAGGCTGTGGTCTCCTTGGCCGCCTCGAGCGACCGCTCCGCTTGATCGCTTGCCATATTGGCGTGGTCGCCGTTCTCGCGCGACGAACTGCTCAACGTCTCGTCAAGAGATTTGGGGCGGGCAAAGTATCTCGTTCTTGTCCCTGTGGAAGACATGGTCAATACCTGAATCATGCGTATAGCGCAGCCAGCACAGTGGCAATGCTCAGAAGACGGAGTGCGGTGCGGTAAAAGTAGTGGCAGTCATGCAAACAGTAGGGGGGCATGAGGAACGTGAGTTTCGCGATAGAAGAAAGGACCGCAAGTCCAGGATTCTGACGAAGAGCACGAGGAGCTTCGGAAAGAGGAACAAAGAAAGAAGAACTCCGATGTGGAAGAGACCGCGCGAACAGCATAAGTTGTCACCTGGCACAGGGCTAGACTGTCAGGAGGGGTTTCCATGCCCTTTGAACCTTGCCCGAGGGCAGTCTCTCTCAAAACAACCTCTTACAGAGCCGATCTGTGCATGTGAAACGGGTGCGGCAGGGATGGTGGTCTTATGACGATATGGCGCCCACGGTTTATTCGCAATTCGGAACGTATCGCAAGGCGGGCCAGCCTGCGCGTGGACAGGGAACAGGTGTGGGCAAAATAGTCACTGTGTTTTCGCAGTGGTGCGCTCGGAGGAAAGGAAAGGACGTGGACGTACAGAGGTGTAGAAGATCGCAGAGCGCAGTCTAACTCGTCGAGAGGCTAAAATCCACCCGCGGATTGGGCGGTTTCGGGGATCGCTGAGTGGTCTGAGAACCCGAGCTTCCTGGGTCTGGGAATCTGCTGTGTCGTGACAATTCGACTCAACCGAGGTGGGCGAAGAGACGAGCAAGAGTCGAAGCGCCTGGATCAGGCCTGAGAACTTTATGTCTGTATGCGATACTTGTCGAAGTTGAATAAAACGTATGAAAGAACTCTTGCGGCTTTGAAGCTGCGGTGGTGGTTGAAGGATACCAGCACCACTTGACCAGAAAACTTTTGTGACGTATTTGGATTTCGAAGCATGTCAACCCCCCCAGTTGCGGTCATCTGGGCTTCGAATCCCCTTTAAAAGATTTGCAATCCCGGAGCTTCTAGAACATTTGCACGAAGAACGGTGGTTTTCGTCCCAATGTTGCAACCCTTCGCCCTTCTCGCCAGCTGAAGGAATAATTGACGGATGATCGGAGGCGGCATCGATAACGACAAAACCGGGTCATGAGAATCACCCTCGAAGGGTAGACCTCCGGTGTCGACAATGAGTGAGCTGCACTTCCGTTTCTCCGCAAGCCAAACCTGGGGAAAGAAAGACATGGTGGCATGGGTGAAAGGGAGGATACTAACGGCAGTAGTGGGCGGTCCAGGACGAAGCGAGGATAAAAACCGAGACAAACCCGTCGCCTTTCGCCACGCACGTCACGAACGAGTAGTAGACTCCATGGAAGATTTGGTCAACGCTGTTGATACACGCTTTTCAGCTCCGGCCTCTATCCTACAGACTCGAGCCTTCTCGTTCTCCAGAACCGAATTCCCGGGTTACTCTCATCCTCAAAAAGTCCTTCAAGCCGCACTCCTGGTGGTCAAGAATCAAGATAAGAAACAGCCATGATGTTCAGCACATCCAATGAAACTCCGAAATGGGAACATTCAGATGGTGAAGCAACAGACTTATAGAAAAGAAAACAATCCCACACTGCTCGCAAACCCCGCTCCATGCTTCCTGCACATGTATTTCTCCTGAACCCGAGCACAACATGTCATCGTCATTGGTTTGTCGCTTGGGGCTTGGAGGTCATCCAATGAATCGTAAGATCATGCAGAAGCGACTCGCCACTTATAAGGTGACGGTTGGCAGGCCGCCGGGTTGCAAAACGTTCGCACCATACTCGCCACCGAAATTTCCTGTTCAGAATGTGTTAGCGCAATCTCCTAGGGACAAAAAACTGGCAAAAGTGTACATACCTGGTGGGCTGTAATTGCAGACGGTGAAATAAGGGCTAACATTGCCACCGGTGTTGGCCAGGCCATTGGGGCAATATTGAGTTGCGCAGCCAACAGAGGTGGTTGATTTCCACACGATCTGTGAGTAATGGCCCCATTTTTCGAAGTTGCTCATATCCGGCTCCCCGCCGTATGATGGGTAGAAGTTGATCTCTCCATTATACATCTCATTGGTGATCATGGCGGGGATGTCGGATGGAGGGGCACCAGCACCAATGTTCTGGCCATACCCACCGCCACCAGTGGAAGTGTCATGAGCATACACACAGCTGGCGGCGATTTGAGCAGCGATAGAAGCCATCTCATCACTCCAGCTCAGATGTGGTACAGATGCGTTGTCCCGATGCATGTTGTGCGAATCGAGAATTCCTTGCTGATAGTCGGAAGACACCGAGGTCGAGACGGGTGAGGGCGCTGCTTGAGTAGGAGTCGATGAGGCTTCTGGGGCTGCCCAAGAATCGGATGTTGTAGCTGGAGCTTCAGATGGAGGTGGAGAAGGGGCAGGTGTATCAGCAGGAGCCGCAGAGGTAGGAGCAGGCGACTCGCTACTCCAGTCCTCGCTGCTCGCGCCATGCCATGCGCCCCAGCTGCCCCAGTTGCTACCCGAGGAGACAGCAGGGGTATCAATGGGTGGGTATCCAGTGACTGTGACGGTCACCGTGTACAAATCGATCTCGGTCACATAATCGCGCTTGTCGAGAGGAGAGGCAACGGCCATACCACCGCACAAGGCGGCAATGGCAAAAGGTGCAACGGTCTTCATGTTGAGCGATGCGATGAATAACGGTTGATTGGTCGATGGTAACCTGACGGACAGTTGGACTCGGGATATGTCTCGATTGGGACGAAACAACAGATCTCAAACGCACAAAGTGTCGTACTGGCGGGGTGCAGAGTGATATGCAGTGAGATGCTGCCGTTGGTTGCGTGAGCAATGTGCTTCTGTTGATGCAAGTTCTTCACACCAGGTGAGGCAGTATTGTTGAAGGTTGACTCTGGTCAAAGAGCTGAATTGACAGGGGCACGGACGATCTAGTCCAACCGGCACGGTCACTGACGGTGCTTCTGTTTGCGCTGCTTGAGCGGCGATGGGGGAATGTGGCTGAATGTGGTCGAAAAAGAGCGACTGCCCGACTGAATGCGCCTCGAGTGAGTGAAGAGGGCACCAAGGGACGGATAACGAAAGGAAGGTGGCAGATGGCCTAAGGAAGGACTGGAGGTGAGGTGAAAGAAGGACAGAATTGGGGAAGTGAAAGTCGTCGAGGTTATCGAGGTGAAAGGAGTGGTATAAAGGCGACAGCGCAAGGGGAGTATATTTAGTGAAGGCCTTGATCAAAGCGGGTTTTGTCCCTCGAGCCTGGATTCGTGCTGGGAATAGGCTAGTCCCTCTTTTGTGACTTGTGGCCAGTCGGAGAAAGAAGAGCACAAAGAAAAGTGACTCCACGATGGTCCTGCTCCAATTGCAAGCTTGCCGGCGACAGGGACCTCGTGGACAAGGATAACCTTAGCCTCGTGAGCCTCCGATGCAAGTAACGCTGGCTGCACAGTCGGTACCTGGAGCTTAACCAAATAGGGCCTAACCGCGGTTAGGCTATTCCCGATACGGGTTGGGGCGCAGGCGAGTGCGGGGAGCTAGAGAGCCTTGGAGGTTGGGTGGGAGATTTGTCGCAGTGATGATCTGGCGGGCAATCTGGACTGAAACGCCCAAATCAACCAGGGTGACAGACGACGATATTCCAATCCTCGACCACTGTACCAGCGCCGAGGCTCACGAAATTGGCTTGGCCCCCGAGAGTCACAAAGAGCAACAGAGAATGAGAAGAAGAGAGTGGTGAACAAGATGAGGACGAGCACGGTTCTGCGAGAGGGAAAGGACAAGAGAGAAGATCAGCGGCAAGGGAAGAAAGAGAGTGGGCTTTTGAAGGAACGGGAAGACACAGAAGAGGACGGTCACAAACTGAGTCCCTGTTTGGAATTTCATCTGGGCCTCGTCCCTCCCCCCTCGTCTTGCTGAGCAGGGAATGAGGTTGCTCGACGACTGGATGGGGGGTGAGGGTTTACATGTCGACTACCGAGTTCTGGTCGACCAAGACGCGGCGAGTTGGAATTTGAGCCGGGCACCTCTTGACGGCGTCTCTCGTGCTCCCATCTGTGACCGCGAGTATGTAGAGCACGTCTGTTCGCCATCCCTGCCACTACGGGCCTGCAATTGAGATACGAATATATCGGTTACTCGCCGAATTGGAATGGGCAGATTGAAACAAATCCCCCTCAGCAAGAGTTAATGACATGTGGACAGGGTTCAGTCGGAGAATAAAGTCGCTTGCAGCTTCTAGTGGTGATGCCCCTAGCACCATTGGGGCGCCGGGCACCAAAGGGGGCTCACGGTGGGCTCGTGGAGCGTAGCCGCTTATCAAATTGCGCCCCGGAGATCGGGCATCTGGGCCATCAACGATTGGCTGAGGCTGCCAAAATTTACATCCTAAACTGACAGGGCTGCCCACCGACCTCGCTACAGAGAACTCCTCGTGCGCACATTTCCTTTGCGGCTCTCTGGTTTGTTTCATCTCCTTGCAACAAGGAAATGGATAACGCACTGGCATGTAAGGTGGAGCTCGATCACGATACGGGCATGTTCGAACTGTCCCGCCATCTGTTTTGATTGGGGGAACTGCCAATTGACATTAACGAGGCCAGCTTCTCTCACCTGTCGCTCTTCCTATTCAAGCTGGACGCTTGAGTGTCATTCCACTCGCTTCAGCCTCGTCGTGATCGCGACCATCCTTGCGCATCAACGAGTGCCGATCGCACCGAGGAAGGAATGGAGCTGACGTGTCCCGTCTAGAGTCCATTGCTAACACCGGTCCTGTTCATCTCATCCTCCACCCTTTCGCTGCCCCAACAGTACGCCACCATTTTGCCCCTTGGACAAGTCTTACACGGTATTCGACCGCAAACTGGCGCATACCTGAAGAGATAGGAAATCACACTTGAGGATCGCTGTGTTGGGAATTCCAGCCCCCATATTCACTCCTGTTCTTTTGCTCCCGGGAGACCCTGGCCTTTTGTCTCAGTGACCTAGCGCCAACTTGAGTTCTCTTGCTCTCAAAACATCAGAGCATGATTTGATTCCGAGTGTCGGCGCAAATATACCCGCTTGAAAAATATCGCTTGTGCGCCAGAACTGTGCAACCATGCACCACCGCGAAGGCTGGAAACGACAACTTGGCCTTCAGATGCCGACAATTATATGCTGTCCCACCTCTCCCCTGCATTACGCCTGCATCGTCAATAGACTGGTCTCGATGTTACCCCTCGATCCAGTCCCTAGTATCAGCTTGCCCTCAACCCCCCTACGAGACAGAGTTTGCGCTGCGGGTGGTCGAACATAGAAGTCGATGTGGTACGCTCGGATATCAGCGGCCAACTGCTCTGGCCATCTTAATCTTACTTGGCCCAATTCTTTCGCAGCATTGCACTGGTTGCCGATCTTTGAAGCCCGAATCAACAGAAGCCATGTACTCACTCGAAAGTGAAACGTCAATTATCAATTGCCCGAGCATGGGTTAAGATGGGCTGCTGAAACATGTGGTCGTCTTCTACATTGCTCTTTAGATGAAGGGCTAGGGCAAAGGGATTTCCCAGAAAGAACCAAGCTGTCGAAATCCGTTCAGCAGAAATATCCCCGGCCAAAGTGTTTGTGGAAGGAAAGATGCAGGCGCTGACCACAGCATATACTAATAGTGACACTGCATAGATACATGGCCAGCTTTCAACCCCTGACTCATCTACTCCTCCTCTCACTGTACGCGTCCTGCAGATGTACATATGCACTTGCAACTCGAACCAATCCACAGACGAAGTTGAGCGTACAGCCGGATGTCAGCCGCCAGCCGCGATGAACTGGGCTGTCATTTCCCCTTGCATCGGCGGCATCGGGGATCTCTACCAACTACTTCAACTATATTATCAGCTACCGTGGCAGTGTCCTGATGGAGGGGGTTTTGAACCCCGAGGTCGATAAGTTCATGTGTCCACGAAGGGGTGTCAACGAGAGCCCGGTTTTGATCCTGACCACGTGGACTCAATATGATACAATTCCTGCATGAACACACGCACGTAAAACACAAGTGCATGTGCAACGAGCCCGGTGAGATGTGTGTTTTGATTCTCCGATTTCGATCTCTCGCATGTCAACAGTTTTCTGCTCAACATGTCCCAGTCAATTTCAGGTAAAGGGTTCAACTATCGCTTAGAAGGGCCGGACAATGGCGATCCGTTGGTCTTCTACCAATCGCTTCGGACCAAAAATTGGGCTAATGCTATGTCTCGTCATCGTGATATGTCACTGTTGAGACATGAAGTTGACAGTTGAAGACGGATCAGAATTCTATAGGGGTTCTGCTTGCCTACAGACAACATCACTGTATCTTTAACGACACGTTCTGCACAGATCCAGCTGACGGTGATTTGAGACAAGTCTTCGATGCCATGACCTTTTCATGATACAGACTTCCATCTAACAGTCTCCTTACATCTTCCTTTCTCATGACGCCGTCTTCGGGCCAGATCAAGACCCAGGCAAATCCCCATTCGAACATGGCAGAAACTTGGCCAAAGAAGTCAAATGCCATCCTGGATCTTCTCAATCCGTGCCACAACTCCCACTTGGTCAAACCACCCTTCCCATCTCGGTCAAATTTTGAGAAGAAATCTTCCAATGGCTGTGGTCTATAGCGGCCCTCCGAATCAAAGGTTCCTGTCCCACTGCCGTGCTTGTTCATGTAGGCATTTTTCACCCATAGTCTGAAAAAGGGATCAGGAAGCCAACCAGGAACTGTGTTATACGATTGCACAGAATGGAGGAAGCCGGTGAAGAACAGAGAGGTGAGGATGGACCATTCAAACGAGCGACAGGTGCGGAAGGTATCGATGGGCCAAATGATTCCGTCGCCATCAGGATCGAAGAAGGAACAATGTTGCTCCAGCACCTGTTTGAGCCGACCATTCAGCAAGTCTTCTGGAGGTGGGCGAACGGAGGCGACTTACGGTCTGATGCTGGTGTTTCTCTGCCCAACCATCCTTTACCGTACCCTGTGGTGCGTCAGATGTGGGAGCGTACGTGACCCGGACCACGCCAGAGTTCTCCAGCTGACACCCAGCCGGTGGTGCATGCGCCTTGTAATTTTCTGTGATTGGAGCCTCTGGGATGGAAATTCGATGCATGGTTGTCGTAGAGGATTCGATGTATGGAGACATTATTTGCTAGAGAACAAGACCACCTAGACTGTTAGACAAACTCCTCAGAGGGATCATGTCAGGGGAGATGCGACGTGTCATTCAACATGCGGGATATCAAGAAGCCATTGGACCAAAGTGTTGACATCATGACTCTGTGTGTGGCGGTCCAAGCAGCTGGACGACATTTAAATGTGTGCTCAAGGCTCTCGATCTTGCTCTCCAAGGTCGCTTCGTACAGGTATCAATGATGCCGCTGTCCAATCGACTTGGAAACAAATTATAAAAGAAGAAAAGACCAGACACGAACCGGCAACAGGGTCAAGTTTACTTTGTGAATGAGTGACTTGCACACACCGATCTTCAGCCGTGCTTCCGCCAATCAGGAGCGAATGTTCCCGTCATGCCGATTGGCTCAAGTTGAAACACGGAAACAAGGAAAAGGAATCTCGTCTGACAGAGGTGATATTTTGTCTCTACCGTAGAAGAGGAGAGACAGACGGCCTTGTCAGGTTGTCAGACTGAGACTGTCTGGTTTCCCCGTTACTTACACACATTGGTACGTACCTACGTACTGAAGCACTGTAGATACTATCGTGTCAACTTGTTTGTCCTTTTTCCTTTACCCATAGCAGATCCTCGTTCAAAAGTCTTGCATGGCAAAAAGCTGAACTCACCTCCTGGGATATTCTCTCCTTTGAGACACTGCACTGGCCGGTCCCAAGACCTTTGGTGACACGAGAAAAGCCAAGTGTCCAGAGTTGAAAAAAAAGGCAGGAAAATCACCTAGTTGGCTGTCCTTCCTTTCCCCTTAGCTATAGGTTATCTCGATCTTCTCATGGGCATGAGGAAGCAAGTCACCAGCCGCGTTCGCAGAAGGGTTTGGCTTCTTTGATACTCACACCGTTGCACTTCGTCGAGCAAATAATTTTCCCGCAGCCTGACGCCGAGATCAAAAACCCAAGCGAGCGTCTTTGATTACTTGCCATCATTCGGAGCCCGTGATACTACGACAGTCAGAGAATCACCAACATGTCACGGCGACCGGTAATACGAGTCATCGGCTCTCTGAACATCGACTTCGTCACGCGAACCCCACGTGTCCCTGGACCTGGAGAAACACTGACGGCGACGTCCATGACAGTTCACCCGGGCGGCAAAGGGTCAAATCAAGCGGTCGCATGTGGGAAAGCAGCATTCATTTCGCCGTCCTCGCAAGATGTCGTGGTCGAAATGATTGGCGCAGTCGGTGCTAATGATCCCTACTACGCCTCGCTCCTGAAACCTACGTTAGAGAAGAGCGGTGTGAGCACGGCTGGCGTCGAGGAGATGGAAGGGGTTCAGACGGGGACGGCGACCATCATTGTCGACGAGGGCTCCAACGGCGAAAACAGGATTCTCGTGGTTCCGGGAGCCAACGCGCAGGTACGTGACGTGGATAAGGTCTTCCAGACGGCGACAAAGGGTGGCGACCCGGACGTGGTGGTCATGCAGGGCGAAATCCCTCGCTCAACCGTGCTGGGACTCTTGGAGAGGTTCAATTCAACAGACTGCAAGACATGTGTCATTTTCAACCCTGCGCCCATGTTCCCGGAGGGAGTCCCGCTGGATGCGCTCAAGGGCCTGGCCGTGCTGGTGGTCAACGAGACAGAGTGCCGGCAGCTCTTTGCATCGGTGGAGGAGCTGAAGACCGTTCGAGTTTCCGGACCGGACGAGCTCATGACCGAGGGGGAGCTCGACCGACTGACGAGCTACCTCCACGGCACGGCGAAAATACCCATCGTGGTGGTAACGCTCGGGTCACAGGGGGTGTACTATTCATTCGAGGCGCCCGACTTACTTGACCGAGATCTGCTACCGGCCTTGAAAGTCGACCGAGTCGTCGACACGACGGGAGCCGGCGACACGTTTGTGGGATACTTTGCCACGGCGGTGGCGCGGCATCTCGCGCAAGCCATTCAACTGGATGACCTCAACGTTCGTGAGGCCGTCACGAGGGCGAACGAGGCTGCGGCGAAGTGTGTGCAGAGAAGTGGCGCGATGGACAGCATTCCCTTTGGGTACGAGTAGTTGCGGGCTACAGTATCTAGATATCTCATGGACAATCCGTCCGTTGGGTGGCTCCGTATTCCTGAGTCTGAGGGAGGAACCCGGCGGAGTGGTGACTCTATAGCCAGACACTTGATGCACTACTCAAAACGGCATTCTAAAGCATTCTGTATGAGTACCTGGGATAGTTTCGCCAGACCCTCCCACGATGGAGATTGCTATCAGTGATTGTGATTGGTCAAGCCCGAAAGCGAGGGAAGCTTCGGATGAAGAATGCCTCGGAAAGGCTGGGTTGGCAAAAAGCCTCTGGTGGCCTTGGGTGGCCTTGTTTGCGCGTGTTGGGTGTGGGGGAAACCGAGGTTCCTGGCTAAATTATCCACTCGCTGAGTATCTTAGTCTGGACCTGAGCCGACGGGACTGAGCAGTTGAAGTCTCTCCTTGTGATGACTATTATTTTTTTCTTGGATTCAAAGAGAAAAAACAACCTCTCCTTCTTTCGGGAGTCAGTGTAAAACCAGCCGAGTAAGGAAGCAAGCCTCCAGCTCAGATTCTTATCCCCTCGAGATCATCAACACCAGGAACCCCATCCGAGATCATCTCACGCTCATACTCCTACCAGCTCTCCCACATAGCAAAGAGAGTCCAAAGAGACCCCAAAACCCAACTCTTTCTCTACCCAAGGACTCAACACCCAAAAGCAAAAGCGAATCTGAGGAAAAATGTATCCCACCACGGCCAAAACCGAGATCCCCCCTCCCCCGCCCAACGAGTCGATCCTCCTCTCGTTCCCGACGCCCAGCATCCTCCTCGTGACCATCAACCGCGTGCGGCAGATGAACTCGATCCCCTTCCCCGTGCACTGGCACATGCACCGCGTCTTTGAGTGGTTCGATCGCGAGCCGACCCTGCGCGTGGCCATCATCACGGGTGCCGGGCCCAAAGCCTTCTCCGCCGGTCAGGACTTGATCGAGCTCGGGAAGCGCGATCCCAAGGAACTCGAGGAGAAGCCGTACCTGGGTATGCACCCGCCGTCGGGGTTTGCGGGCATCAGTCGTCGGACGGGCAAGAAGCCCATCGTCGCGGCGGTTAACGGGTATGCCTTGGGCGGCGGGTTTGAGATTGTTCTCAATTGGTGAGTTGTCCTTTCGTTCTTTTTACGATTTTGATTGAGGGTTCTGTTTCTGGCTTTTTGTGGTGGTTCGGGGATTGGAATGAATGATGGGTGGATGGATTGGCTCTTTTCATGGGTGGTGCTAGAGCTGTCGAGTATTTCACTCAGAGTCCTTTGTGCTGTTCCCCTCCCCTCTTGGTCCTTTGTGATGTATATCTTGAAGATTCAAGATCGAGGGACCCGAGGAACATGGAGACAGGGGGACAGACGCATGATCTATCGTCCGCCATCCCACCCCATCTCTTTCGTTACCACAACCATCACCCTCCAAACTGCTCGGTCTCCCAAACATACCACAGAAACACACACTGACTCACTACCAAGCGACCTGATCGTCGCCTCCCCCAAAGCCACCTTCGGCCTACCCGAGACGCTGCGCGGCATCTACGCCGGCGCGGGGGGGCTGCCCCGGTTGGTGCGCAACGCGGGCCTCCCCATCGCGTCCGAGGTGTCGATGACGGGCCGCGTCCTCTCGGCTACCGAGGCGCTGCAGTACAACGTCGTCAACCGCGTGTCGGCGACGCACGAGTCGTGCGTGCCCGAGGCCGTCGAGCTCGCCCAGAAGATCGCAGACATCTCGCCCGACGCCATCATCGTCACCCGCGCCGCCCTCCGCGAGACCTGGGAGACCGGCTCCGTCGAGCGCGGATTCCAACTCGTCGACGAACGACTCAAGAGAGGTCTGCACGAGAGTCCCAACTCCAAAGAGGGGTTGGCCGCGTTCCGCGAGAAGAGGAAGCCTGTCTGGACGGCTTCGAAGTTGTGAGTCAAGTACCCGTTGTGCGGGTGTGGTGAGGAGGTATAGGAAAGCAATGGAGGGATCCGAGCCGAACAAAAAGAGAGCGAAGGGGGTTTTGAAGAGCCTGGTGTGTCTTTTGTGCAGCGTGTAGATGCGCCCGAGGCTGAGACTGAGGCTGCGGACCGTGCCTGTTACATACCGACTTTCCAGTCTTGAGTCTCGTCTGTCTCTGTACTCTCACACGATATAAATACAAAGTATATCCATATATTCATATATCTGTTTTTGTCTGTATACGTCCATCTCCGCTTTGAGTCTGTGTCCTACGCTGCGCCATGCATGACATGTCACGGCATGCCACGACCCATGACACGATACGTACCAGAGACATGGAAATACCAATGAAAATGCCCCATGAGGGGAGTGGAAGGGAGTGCTTAGCACATAAACATAAGGACAGTTCTCTGCATGTGCATCCCCTTATTTAACACGTTTCTGTCAAACGTTTGCCAATTGAACGTCTCAACCGTAACCATCCATCCCGAGGGCATTACTAGATACTCGTGGATCATAAACTCATTCAGGATTCCCGGGGGGGGGCGGAGGGGGGGGGGGTGCTATTTTCCATTCAAGACAGATATTTCCCCCGTGGTAGCAGTGGTTCCCCGTGAATCCATGTCAGATGTTCATGAGACTAACATAAACACCCCATGCCAACCCTGCCAAACCCCCGACAAACATCCTGTGTTCCACAGGGACCACGACGAGATTGAGGAGTGTGACGACGGGCCAGAACTTGTAGCCTGCGATGAGCATTGGGAAAAAGTCCTGGAACAAAACTCATCAGACATTCCATCTTGTTGCACCAAGAGTAGACTCACCCTCTGAATGGTCGCCATTATGTAGCTCAGACTCTCGCCCCGCAGCAAATTGATCATGATGATGAACCAGATGGTGTTCAACGACGCCCCAATGGTCTGATCCAGAACGAACTTGGCAATTGTATTGGTGACGGAAAGAGACTCCTTGTCCTTATTGCCCGCAGAGCCCGGCGCCCTATCGCTCTTCTTCTTCTTATCCCTCGCAACGTCCACAACCTCATCGCTTCTTGCAGGATTCGTGGGAAAATTCCTCTCGAGAGCCAGCTGCCACTTGTAATTCGGCGGTGTGGTGACGACGGCGATGATGATGAAGTGCACGAGCGCGACAGGGTCGATGTACGGGCCGCCGCTACCACGGTAGGCTCTTAGGATTTGAGCGAGGGTGTTGGACACGGCGCTCATGATGGCGCCCTCGAGGGTGACGCGCAGCAGACGCGACGACTCGGGGGAGGAAGTGGCTTCGGACATGATGGACTGTGGCAGGGAGGATTGGATCGGCGAGATCCTTTTTGAGAGACACGTTCAGAAATTATATTATGTTCTGCGGAGGTTATGTTAGGGTAGATAGATAGGGAAAACTGTGTTTCGCTTTCTCCTGTCCCCTTTTGACTCGCCGTCGGAAGATTCTGGCCTGCGTTTGTTCTCACTCCTGGCGTTCATGTCAATATCGAGGAAGCTGCGAGTTATCCGTCTCTCAAACTACGAAACTCAAGGTAAGCGGAAGGAAACACGGAGACGATGAAACAGCGGCCTGAGGGTCTTTTCTTGATCGATTTCCCCGTCTCGAGACATTCCACGAAAGCCACGTGTCAGGTTGCGCAGGTGAAGCCGAATCCGAGTCTGGGGGGCACAAGTTCTGGACAAAATCCTTGTGTGTGTGTGTGTGTGTGTGTGTGTGTGTGTGTGTGTGCAAGCGTGGTGCAGGAATGTCACCTTGACCTTTTTCTTTCCCACCAGATGTCCATCAAATTCGGCCTAAATTCTGGCGAGGCCCGATAGAAACAAAGCAGGAACGCAGTTAATTCCAATCCCGCATGTTTTTGTGTTATTGGGGAAGAAATCATCAGTGGCGGGGGCGAGTTTCCCGCCGGGTTTCCGCTGAGGGGGAATCACAGGTCCTTCTGAAGGTAGAGTGCTCTATCCGGAATTCCCCGGTCAACTATTCATCTTTCAGCTACCAATGTTCTTCTTCTCCAGCCAGGTAGGTCTTGCTCCGACTTTGTCGCCTTGCTGAGCGCACAGAGCGAGAGACGGAAAGGAAAATCCAGGAGCTTCCAGACCATCCCACTCGGTGCCATTAATGGCCCTGTGGCTGAGAAGCTATTCAGCCATGGTAAGTGATCGACCGGTCTACGTGGTGTGCCTTGCAGATGTGACTTCACCGTGACGTTGATCCGGATGGATTCTCCGTAGCCAATAGTGCTTCGAAGGGTATTGGTGATGGTGAGGCTCAAGGCACCCAGCAAGGAAAATATAGACCCGATGAGGGCACGAGGTCTGCTCCTGAGAACTCTGTATCCAGCTCACTGTGAACAAAACCAAAGTTTGAAGACAAAAGACCCGGCAATTACTATTCACAACTCATAACAGCTTACCTCAGACACGTCAAAATGCCTCGAGGAGCAGAATTTGACGACGGAAAGCCTCAGTCAGACAACCCCGTCGAGGCTGGACACGACATCATCCATGGAGGTTCAAAGGTAGGATCACCCAATACCCTCCTCCCCCGAGTAACCGTCTCTTCAATCCACCACAACCCAATCACAATATAACATCTTACTGACATCTAATCTCTCCTGTCCTGTACAGTCCACAGCCGAAGCCGAACTCTCTGGCCCGAAGAAAGCCGCCCCTCTCCCAGAAGGCATGGACGAGATGAACGACCGCACACTCAGCGGCGGAGCCGCCCCAGGACATCAGAGCGGAAAAGGGGGAAACGGGCCCCGGACAACAGGCGAACACACGGGTCTGGGTGGTCACAAGGGCCTAGGCACAGCTGATCCGCATCCCACGGACTTGAAGGGTGACAAGCAGCCTGGCGGAAGTTGAATTAGAAATAGAGAGAGAGAGAAAAAAAGAAAAAGCACTCGACATACACACATACTTACTACGACGGACGGACGGACGATCAGATACTGGGCAATGATTGACATATTAGGTGGGATAGGTGGGATGACAAAACACAAAGGAACTGGCAGATATATATTCTTTTATTTTACGGAGCCCAAATCCTGGTGTTTGGATAGACAGACAAGCCGTCCGCCCACCCCATCCCCCAAATTGCTATGGTGTCATGTGTCCAAGTACGAGGTTCAGTCCAGTCCAACCCGCAGAGTTCTATGCATGATTGTAGCAATGCCACGATAGATAATATCAAAATACAACCCGCATTGTACAACATGCACGCACTGTACAGCACGCCAGCCGAAACTTCTTGTCCATGTGTGCCATGCTAACTCGCGACTGCCTCCCTCGAAAGGACCGGCGACAGACCATTTTGCACGCCCTCTTCGTCGCTGTCGTGGGCGCCTTCTTCGTCCTTGACGATTTCGGGGCCCGTCCACCCGGTGCCGGCCTGCACGAGTAACATGCCGATCGTCCAGACGCCGCCGACCATGTAGATTGTGCTGAGGGCGGTCTCGTAGCCGGAGAGGGCGACGTCCCTGTCCACACCGGTCAGGCGCTGGACGAGGATCGGCGTGCCCACGAGCTGGCGGATCAGGGCGGCCCTGTCGGGCGTGATGGGGAGGCCGCGGTCCTCGAACCCGCGGGTCAGGGCGCGCTGCAGCGTGCGCAGGAACAGGCCGCCCGTGACGGAGGAGCCGAACGAGCCGGACAGGCTGCGGAACATGGCGTTGAGGGGGATCACGATGACGTGCGTCGCCGGGTGCGTCAGGTGCAGGACGTGCGCGAGCGAGTAGTTGAGCAGGGCGCCGACGATCAGCCCGTTCAGGAACAGCACGCCCAGGTACAGGTAGATATTGGACGTCGGGGTCGAGATCCACGACACGGTGAACATGGACAGCGCGAACAGCACGAACGTCACGACGCACGCGATGTAGAACGACCCGGTCCGTCGGATGTGCAGCCATCCGGCCAGCAGCCCGCCGAGGCCGAAGCCCAGGTTCGTCGGGATGAGTGTGAGTCCGGCTTTGGTCTGCGGCCAGCCGCGCAGCGTGAGCACGTACGTCGGCGTGTAGAACAGCACGCCCCACCGCGCTGTCATGACCCCGACGGTGGCGATGCCCGTGAGGATGTTCCCCCGCGATCTGAGCACCGAGACAGGCACGATGGGTTGGCTGGCCCAGGTGGCCTCGACGAGGAGGAAGAGGACAAAGGACGCGAGCGAGAGGATGATCGGGGTGATCTGGACCTGTGGCGACGAGAGGCTGTAGAGGAGAAGCACGACGGCGGCGATGATGGTGAGCACGCCCAAGTAGTCGATCTGCGACAGTTTCTTGGCCAGCGTCTCGGAAGACGATGCCGCCGCACCCGCGGCCGTCTTGGGCTTGGGGATGGCGAAGAATGCCACCGTCACCGCGGACAGGGCAAAGGGGATCTGCAGCCAGAAGACGGCGCGCCAGCCGACCAGCGGTTCGAGGGCGCCGGCAATGATAGCTCCGCAGGCCACGCCGGTCGTGTAGCCGGTGTTGATGCAGCCGAAGAAGAGACCCCGTCGGCGGGCGCTGGTCAGCTCGGTGACCAGGATGAAAGCCACGGGGGTGATGGAGGCACTTCCGATGCCCGTCACGACTCGGCCGGCGAGAAACATGGCCAGCGACTTGGCCCGGGAGGTGATCAACAGCCCGGCAGTCTGGACAATGACCGAGGCCAGCAGGTAGACGCGGGGGGTGAAGATGGCGCAGAGTCGGCCCGCGACCGGCGTGATGCTCGTGATGGCGATGAGGTACGCCGACGTGAACCAGCTGACTTCGCTGGAGACTTTGAGGTCCGTCGCAATCGGGGACTGGATGGTGGTGATGAGCGAGACATTGTTGGTCAGGATGAAGATGAGGACCCAGACGGAGACGCAGATGAGACAGCCGCGCAGAGTAGAGAGGCCGTCAGCAGGTCTGGGAGCGACGGGCACGGAATCTCGCTGTTCCTCTGCGTGACTTTCTATCGAAGTGACGGCGGCGTTGGATGAAGAGCATAAGAGAGGCGTCCTCTCGGAACCGACATTGTCATCCGTCATTGGGGGTTTGTAGAGCTCCTCAAGCTCAAATGGAATGTAATGTTCAAGGTAGCGACATGAGAGATGTATTTACAACAAAACGAAATGACAACGTAAAAGGGAAGTGATGGAATGTACTCGGTATTATGTTTACGCAATTGTCTATCAAGCCCAACCAGCCATAATATGACAAGTCGAGATGCTGACAAAACAAGCATCTGGGATCGTCGGATGTCGGTCGCAGCCTCGACGGGGGAAACTCAAGCGAACAACGGGCGGATTTGTTGCTTTGCCGAGGATTGTCATCCAATGAGATTGTCGAAACAACAGATGTCACCAATATAGAACGATATAGAGTGATATAGACTCATGGATGGCATTCTGGGATATTTATCTGAATGAGCGACGGGAGGCTTGTGTTTCTTCGCCTCTTGTTCTTCTCTGCCATTTGTGCTGCACCAACGTTGGCTTCTCCTTTACTCGGCACACTCGGCTTTTCTCGTCTCAAAGATCTTCAGAGCCTCTTCGGCAGCCTTGACGCCGCTCAGGACCATGGCCCCAAAGGTAGGTCCCATGCGGTTGGCTCCGTCCAGTTCACTCAATTCCATTCCGCCCATGATCAAACCTGGCGACACCTCACGCGTGCCCTTGACAATGGCGTCTTCGGCACGGTTCATGTCGAGGGCGCGCATGCCGCCCAGCTTCTCAATGGCGTTCATGCTGACCAGACGTTTGGCACAGAAGGCGCCGAACGGTCCATCGTGGCCAGTGGTACTGATAACGAGAGGGGCATTGATAGTGCTAGACTCTCATCAGCACGGCCAAAACACTCAATCAAGTCTTGTGAAAACTCACTTGGGATCCATGCAGCTGTGGTTATCGTGGTGCAAGGTGACCAAAGTCCAGTTGGTGACGACGCCAACCACTCTGACACCTCCATCCGCGGATGGACGGGTGACCAGGTCCTCAACACAGGTAGCATTGAACAGCTTGACGTTGGGCATGGCCAAAACCTTGCTCATCAGCGTCGACATAAAGAGGGCCGCGTGCTTGACGACCACATAGTTGCCCTCATCCTCATACGGCACGCCGATGTCGTTCAAAAAGGCTTCGGCGGGTTTGCGAAGAACCATGGCCGAGAAGAGCTGACCACCCAGCCAGCAGCCGCCTCCAGGGCTGACAGAGGCCTCGATGATAGCAATCTTGAGGTCTGGTCTTGCCTTTGCCAGCGTGTAAGCGGTGGAAAGCCCGCAAGAGCCGGCACCGACAATGACCACGTCCGACTCGGCATAGCGGTCAAGATCGGCAAAGTAGCGTCGGGTCATGGCGCGAGAGACCTGGGACTCGCGGATAGGGGCAAACTTGAAGGCATCCCATTTGTCGCCAAATTGTTCAAGAAGATTGTTATGTTCGCCAGCAGCCTTCAAGGCCACCTTTGTGGTTCCGACGGCGTCTTGTTTCAGCTCTTTGGTGCCATTGTAGGCATCAAACTCGTTGAAGGTGGCAATTGGTGGAGACATTTTGTAGGTCCTGCATCGTGTTAGGCGGATGCTCTCAGCGGCGTCTGGGGAAAAAGAGGGAGAGATCGCATAATCCTTTCGCTGGTATTATCCAGATCAAGTTAAACCGTATGATCTCAGAACGCGACTTTCTGGACCCAGCAAGTGAACTGCCATCTCCACATCCACTGGGGAAGGACCTGGTTGGATGGCAGAAAGATCTTGCTGGGGGGACAGAAAAGTCGCGAACACCGGTTCATGCGCAGACATCCTCATGTCTGTGAATAAGTTGTACCTTGACCATGATGGCTCTTGACCGAGCGAGACGAAAGCATGCCAATCTCCATCTTTTCTCAAGTGAGATTTACTTGGAAGAGTGATGGACTGGAAGAGTCGACCTGGAGGTGTCAGCACGGAGTTCAAGCAGCAAGCAGTAAAGGGAAGAATCGGAGGGAGCGGAATACTTCAAAAGTGTGATAGATCTGGTGTCCAGCTAGGAGACTTTGGATGGTACTTGCAGGATTGCAATATGACACAGAAAGCCGTGAGAGGGAGATAATGATTGAAAAGATTGTTGGGGGAGAATAGCAATCACCTCATTGATCCGGGATTTATATAGGAAAATCCGGAAGCAGAAACCAAGAAAAGGAGGGGCAAGGCGAGGGGCAGGTGGATCTTCTTTGCTCTGATTATCGCAACCCGTTATCGGTGTCGGAAGAAGACGCCGTCGCAATTGGCTCGAGAGAAAACACCAAACCACTTACCAAGAACTCCATTAGTAGCTTCCAAGCTCCTTACGTGTGAGGATCTGCATGTGTATCCCACAGACCGAGCTTCCGAATTGGCTGGGCGTGGTGGGTGCTGAGCTGACACTGGAGAAAGGTCTTTCTTGTCATTTGCTCAGGATCGACACGAGATGCCCCAAGGACATTGCGAAGAAAAGATGTCCAGCATCCAAAATACGCGATTGATGCATAACAAACTGATCAGTGATGGGGATCAAGTCAGAAGTCAAGCACCCTTGGGTGGTCAAGGGCGATAATCCAATCTATCCACAAAGTCCTTCTCCACCCCACAGGTTCATCGCGTTCGCTTGACGGGCCTTTTCTGCCTCATTCTCATTCCGATGATATGCCTCTTGACCACTACAGCAGACGAAAATGCACCCAGGACATACATCATTCACCTCGTCTTTTGCTCGTCACCCTCCTCTTCATTCTAGTCCCTTGCTGGCGCATACTTTCTCTTCGCCATCGGCAGTCGCTCCACAATCCTCGGGACCATATACTCTTTGTCCCATGTATACGTGACACTTGGATGCTGCATGCACAGGTTTGCCCACTTGGCGAACCGCGGCAGCTTGCTCGTCGTAGAGTCGGTGTCCAAGATTTCCCTCGCGAGACGAGCGGGAAATATAATATCGTTGGAAAAGTCAATCAGGCGGAGGACGAAGGGGATCGTCATGGCCTGATGAGGAGGTTCACGTTAGAACAACATTGGTACTGATTGATTGAGCAGGGCACGCACCTCGACGACAGTCAACCTCTCACTTCCTCCGAAATATGGGCCACTCCCGTTCTGGGCTCCAGCGGCAAACAATGGCTCGATCTCTTTTTCCAAAAGTGCCTGTATATCGTCCACAATCCGTTCTTGTGGTTCCCCAGTATCTGCACCCACCAGTTTGAACATCAGAGGGTTAATTTTGGTGAAGTAGGTGTCGACAAAGAAGGACATTTTGTACCGGAGGTGTGCTACCTCGACTCTCTTCGCGAGGGCAGATTGGGTAGAGGAACCCGAGAGCAGAGCGGGAACCGTGGGCAGAAGATGGGATGGATAGAGGTCCGTAAAGAAGGAGACGATTTGGGCCGACTCGACGAGTGTGATTGTATCAGTGGAGGAGTCGGCTGATGAGGGGTGAGGTGTATACTGGAGAACAGGAACGAGACCACGCTGGAGGCACTGTCAGTTAGCTCCCTTCTAGTAGGAAAACATGGAGAAAAGGAATACATCCATTACAACGTATAACAGATAACGTATGAATGGAACACATAGAAAAACTTCAGCAATAAGATGAACTCTGGTTAAGCAATAAAAAAAGACTGTATGAGCAGCAATCAAGTCGAGGTCAACACAATCACGGCGGAGAAACAGAAGACAATTTGTAGATTCCAAGGATCACTCTTCAACCCGATAGCAAGCTCGGTCCATTGACTCCAAGACAGGTGCAGAAATTCTCACCGGGTTCAGCTCCAAGAACCATTTTGGCCTCGGTTCATCCATGTTGATGATGACTTCCTCATACCCCAGTCCGAGCTCCTTCAGGACGATATGGACGCGTTGGGACCAGCCGCATCCATGGTTCGTGAAGAATTTGATCTTGGCTTGGTGAGTGGCGCCGAAGTCGACGGCGACGGATGTGGTGGATGCTGCAGCCATTGTCTTTGCGAGATGGGGGGAGAATAAGGACAAGGACGAGGACAAGGTTGACTCTCGAATCACCTTGAGGAAATGGATGAAAGTCCAATTGGATAGATGGAAAACTACCCCACCTGCTGTGGCTTAGACGGTGCAAAGAGGAAGAAAAGAAGAGGAGAAAAGGTAAAAAACAGGGGAGATGAGGAAGAGCCCGGGTATTTGTACACCGCACCAGAGCTGGGGAGAGAGAGGGGTTTTTCTCTGAGCTTCTAGGCTGCAACATGCAACGGACGAACTTCGACCGAAAGAATACGTATAGTTTCACGAGGGAACAACTTCAAGGGTTTCATAACATTATAGTTGTTGCTTTGACCGCGTCTGGTCGTGCCATTTATCACGAAGGATTGTGTCAAGGGGGCAGTTTGGATAGTTTCGACGAGGCTGCATGTCCCTGAAACTTGTCAGTCTGATGGCCGAACATCTCAGCACGCGCTTCCAATTTTGCTGAAATGCTCAGCCTCGAAGTCGATCACGTGACTGTTCAGGGTTACTCGGTACTGGAGAAACATTATCCCGATATGCCTATTTACATGAGCTTCGACGACAAGATAGAGACAGTGACCTCCAAAGATTAGTGTTACCTAAGTATTACTTCCGGACTAACTATGTACTTTCATGCCAATGGTGACAGCCATCACACGCATTTCCAGCTGGCAGCCAGTGTAACATCCCCGCTGCCCTTGTACGTCGCCATTTGGGGATATGCACAGATTGGTCTGTGGTAGACAGTCCCGTTTGCAGTTGGCAGACTGATCCCCTGGAGCACATCTGGAGCCTTTCCTTCCTCTACCCAAGCAATGAGACTTTCAAAGACATGACCTGGGTATGGTCCATTACCACCTCCACAATGCGAAACCCCCGGAGCCTCAAAGTATCGATAGTACTGGCTGACGCTCGGATCAAGCTGACCTACTTTGCTATAATAGATCCTTGAAGTGTTTGTCGGTACTGCAGGGTCGGCGAGCCCATGCCACGTTATCAGCTTGCCACCTGACGCCCGAAAGTCGCTGAGATCAGGGTCATTGCTCGCTGTCATGTCGGTATATGTGTCGACAGAATAATCCCAAAGGCGATAAAAATCATCCCAAGTCAGGGTGGTCCAGTCAAATTCGGGCCGTTTGATCAACCAATACCTGACAAACTCTTCCGAGTATGAGAAAGGAACCATCTGGCACTTTCCCGTCCGAGTGTCGCAAGTACTGTTCAATGCGAGGTTCAATAGCGCACCAGGGTTCAATCCCGGCATAAGAAACGACCCATTTGCGGTCCGCACGGCGTCCCAAGCCTTTGCCGCACCTAGTGCGGCTGCTTGGGAAATCGTGGCGTTGATACCGGGACAGGTGACGTTTTGGCCAACCAACGTGGACGGGTCAAACTTGCACTGTGCCGGGTCTGAGATGATGTTGTCAATGACACCGTCGTCTGCATCACAGGCTGCGACCGCTGCTAATGACAAGGCATATATCTCACACGGATTCGGGATGTGGCCTTGGCCACTTAGCTGAATCACCAGCGGAAAGTATAGCCCTCCTACCAAGGCGGTGTTCCAGTTGATCCCCGGCGCTGCAGCCAAGATGCCGTCAAATGCGTCGGGATAGCGCTGGGCAAGGACCAATCCCTGTCTGCCACCACCGGAGCAACCATTCCAGTAGGATCGAATTGGTTTCTGGCCATAGAAATCCTTGGTGATGGACTTCCCGATAACAGCGGCATCGTTCAAGGACACCGAGGCCCAGTTCTGCAACGCGTAGAGGTCGACGTTTCCAGGACTCAAGAGAGCCCATGTACTCGCATCTTCGACTTTGTGGCCTGCATCAGTGGAAACGACCGCGAATCCATCACTCAATGCCCCTGCCATGGAAGGTACGTTGAGCCCTGCGAGGAATCCTCCGCCCGCTGCTCCCTGAAGCCGCTGGTTCCAGCCTTCCAAAGGCAGCCAGACCTGGACGTTGATGCTGTCACGCTGTCCAGGGTGCGTATAGATGAGGCTGACATTGCAAAAGCCAAGATTCGTCACGTTTCGCGCGTCGTGGCTTGGGTATCCGCCCTGCGCGATCTCGATGGAAAAGTTGGTGACGGGTTGAGCAGTCAACGAGAGCGTCTTAGCACCAAACAGGTCAGGATATCGAAAGGATTGGGACACGCAAGCAGCATGAGTGAGGTTGGTGGCTGAGAACTTCATATTTGAGGATTAGACCCTCGACGCAGGGGTCTTTGGATTGACACCTTACAATTTGTTCTCTCGAACACTCTTGAGTCCAAAAATCGCGACAGCATCCTTACATTATAATACCTGGGAAAGGCCCATGCAAATGAACGATTACTTCGGCGACAGCCAAGGCAATACTGGCTATACACCCGCCCCATGGTTGGTCATCTGGACTAGCTGGCGTAGGTGGAAATTGACCCAAGTTACAATGAATCGTCATTCTCATGATACGAAACCCCAGTCTCTCTTCTCTTCTGCGAGCCGAGCAAAAATCGGCAACCGGCTATACAACGAGGCCGAACCACAGCCTGGGCTTTGCCAGGACTCCGCGCCCCACGAATTCCCCCACAAACTCAGTTTCCACTTTCGCGTCCTTCATCCTCCATATCCCCACTTCCGACGAGGAGAGGCCTAATGCATAATACGTCCTATGGCGACCCTGTCGGCAGTATTCCAGAATGGGTTGGACAGTGGGTGCACTAGGTGCGGTTGGGGTATAGTGAACAATGACTTGAAATTCGATGTGTCCACCCAATCACTTCAGACCTATGTGCTTGGAATCTGACGAGGTTAGAAGAGGCAAGTCGAAGCAATCTCCTCACAATTAATGACGGGTGGAGAGAAAAGACGAGATTGGTCGCGCGAAGCACACACACCATACTCTGTACAGAGATGGAGATCCAAATAGTGTAGACTTCACGATCAGCTCGCTATCATTCGGGGACATGGAGTCCCATTGAACATTTTGGTTTCTAGGGCATAAGTTATGACGTGCTGCAGCAAGGAGAATAAAGAGTAATTTATACTCGGTATAACTGAGGACAAAGGGTACAAAGCCCCATGCCCGTCGGTCCCGATCTCACCGACCTTTCGATCACGTGGGCCCCCTTTCTCCCTTCACTTCCCTCCCTTACCTCCTAACATTATGTCTTGGCTGTTTTTGTATTTGACCACCTACAGTCCATTTAGACCCAAGTCTATGTATCCCAACTATACACTCTCCAAGTCTATGTATCCCAACTATACACTCTACCAGTATGATTGAAACGAAGATATCCCCCTTCAAAACTTACTTCGACGAGATAGCAGAGACCGATGGCGACGACGAGTGTCGGGCATGGTTGAGAAGGATTCTGGACTCCAAACAGGACTTGGTCGACTTTGTCGGGCGTTGCCTGAAACGAGGACGAAATGGCGTCTACGTCGGATTTCTCAAAGGTTCCTTCAACTTCAGCTTCCGCGTCAGCTTCCGCGTCAGCTTCCGCGACGGCCAAGACGTGATCATTCGGTTCCCCAAACCCGGCCACACGGCCTTTCGAGAGGAGAAAGTAACTAACGAGGTTCGCGTCATGGAATACCTGCGGCAGAACACCACCGTTCCTGTTCCCCGTGTACACAGCTGGGGACTGACCAAGGAGAGCCCGCGACAACTCGGGCCGTTTATCATCATGGATTTTGTAGATGGAACACTGTTATCGACCATGCTGAAGCAGCCCGATACCCCAGATTTGGTTCTCGACCCCAATGTCGACAACACCCTGTTGGACAAGGTCTATCGCCAGATTGCCGGGTTCCTCCTCCAGCTTTCTGAGCTGAGATTCTCCAAGATCGGTGCCATCTCGAAGGAAGACCATACCTCCAATACCTGGCGTGTGGCGGCGAGACCGATTACATACAACATGAACGAACTGGCCACGGTAGCAGGCTACCCTGGCGACTAGTTTCCCACCGAGCCATTCGACCGCACAAGCGACTACCTGACGTCCGTTGCCAAAGAGCACATGACACCTCTGTGGATCCAGCGTAACGTCGCCGACAACCCGGAAATCGCTCGAGGACGATACATAGCCCGTCGTCGACTGCTCCACCTCATTCCCAAATATTGTGTCGACGACGCAGGCCCGTTCATCCCCTTCTGTGACGACATGCGACCGTCTAACATGCTGGTCGACCCGGAGACATGTCGAATCACCGCTATCATCGATTTCGAGTTTACAAACGCGATGCCCGCGCAGTTTACGTACGATCCGCCCTGGTGGCTGCTACTGTCCGGCCCCGAGATGTGGTTTGATCGCTGCTCAGCGAAAGAATTTCTAGCTCTGTATGAGCCCCGAATGAGGCAGTTTCTGCACGCCCTGGACCAAGTTGAACAAGAAGAGTTCGGAGCAGCGCAGCCAGCGCGCCCCAGTCTTGCCACGCGAATGCGTGAATCCTGGGACACGGGCCGTTTCTGGTTCGACTATGCCATAAGAAGGGGTTTCGACTTGGACGTCGTCTACTGGACAGCTTTGCGACGGCACGACGACGACAACGACAAACTCGAATCTTCAGAGGGTGAAATGCGTTCAGAGATGGACCCGTTCGTAAAATTAAAAATGGAACAACTCAAAGCATACAACGAGGAGTGTCGCGTGCGTTTTGCTTCAGGGTGAAACCTTGAAGCTTTCGATGGCGAGTCATTTGAACCATTTGCCCCCCATGGAATGGATGGACGGAATTGAGCAATACGTTCGTTCCTCTTAACTAATTATATGATATCCAGGGCAAAGTAGTCTGCTTGTAGACAGGTTACATGGATGAACGGCTATATCGGCAATAGGTGAGGCAATATACCCACCCTATAATTTATCATCTAGGTAAGCTGGTGAACGGAAAATAAGAGTAGATTGTGACGGATCGTCATTCTCATGATATTTAATCTTAGTCTCCTCTTCCAGTTCTATCCCGCGAGCCGAGTAAAAGTCGGCAAGCGACTACATAACGAGCCTTAACTACAGCCTGAGCCTTGGACTCCGCGCCCGCGAATACCCCACAAACTCAGTTTCCACCTTCGTATCCTTCTGCTAGGCATGATTCTCGCTCCCTCCACATTTCTGGTATTCCTTTCCACTTCATGCATGTTGCTTGGCAGAGTCACCTCGAGGCCTCATTGTCAGGCGTCATGGACACCAGTTGGATCTGCCGTTCCAGAATCTCGAAGCTTTGAAAAGCCAGTTTGAAGTTGCTGAATACTGGGACGCTCGAGCGGGTTGAGCGCGATAGAATGTCTCACCAGATCGATATGGCGACTCCATGTCGGCTTCACCGGTTTTTGGGAGTATTCCAAGATCTCTGTATGATATTGCCTGATGTTTGCCAAGCTACAGTCATCCGGGAGGTTACCCTCTCGTGCGTAAAACAACATCATGACAAGAATAGACCAAACATCGACTCTGTTCGAGTATTTGGCAGTCGACGCTTGCATGCCTCCTGGACCGGGCGAATCGTCTGTGGTACGCAAAATGATGGTTGACATGGTGGAAGATGTGTCGTCCGACTTGGAATGATGAAGGGCCATGTCGTAGCATATTTCTGGTGCGACGAACATGGGCGTGCCACAAAATGTCTGAAGAATCTTCTCATCTTGAGCTAGCCCGAAGTCCCCAATCTTGACCCGTGCTGGAGCCCAAGAAGTGAGGAGTACGTTCTCAGGTTTCAAGTCCCGGTGGACTAGGCCTTTCGAATGCATATACTCAACACCGTCGCAAACTTGCCCCATTACTACAGTTGTTTCCAACGGACCCAATAATCCTTTAGAAGACAAGGAGCCCTCTTGACAGTATTCCAGGACGAAATACGGGGTACCCTTTGTCTTCAGAGAGTCCACAAATTTGTCGTCAAAAATACGGATGATGTTCTCCTTAATAGGTTATTAGTACAGACTCTAAAGCGATCTGACCATACTGACATGATTCAATTCCCTCAGGATCTTTTGCTCCGAATGAAGGTATTTGGGGTCGCGAGGGGCCGACTTGAAAATCTTGACAGCGAAGATATTCCCACGACAGTCAATAGCTCGGCGCACTTCAGAGAAAGACCCGGAACCGATTGGGTCTGAAAGGCCGAGTTTGTTGGTGTCAAAGGCTGTTGAAGGTGCCGGGCGCTCTATGACTAGATTCCCGATCCGAGGAATAGCTTGTTCTCGTTCAGCTCTGCAGGTGTGCCACTTTCTTTCAAAGGCTCCCTTTTGTAATCCGCGGTCTGGTATGCACACTTCTAGACGCACAAGACTCGCTTGGATGATGTCACCCGTGTTGATAGGAAGAGAATTTCTGCGCAGGGTATGGTCACCGAAAACTCTGGATATCACAACTGTTCCATGGGATGACAAGTCGTTCAGTATGAGTGACCCATTCTCCCAGTTGTAGTCTAAGCTGAAGTGCTTTGCACTAATGCCCCCACCAGATGGTCGCTCATTTAGTACCACAAAACACGACTCCGGGTCGCTCCCAAAAATCCAGCCTTCGCAGGGATCGTACGGTAGGTCGTCTAGAGTAATGGTCAGACATACCTCCCGTAGTGGCGTCGGTTCGGGCGTGCGATGTGAATCCTCCACACTGTCTTCCGCGTCCAGAATGATGGTTGGAGCGGGAACAAACTTCTTGTTATGCTCTAGTGTCAAAGCGTTGTATGCGTCAACCGTTTTGCTAGTGAGCATGACGACAGTATTTTCACGGCTGGCCAGGTAGGCGGGCATTTTGAGTGAAAAGAAAGTTGATGACATGCGTGGATATCGGGAAGATGCAATATCTTTATACATCCAGTAATTCAAGTCGAGGGATTCACCGTGTGAGGTGGTTGCCTTTTTCACGTGATGTATGTTGCACAAGTCGCCAGGCGCGAGTGCTCCATTGGTCTCTAAAGAGGCAAGCGTGACCCTGGCGGTTATCCAGCGTTCGCCATACGTCGCTTTTTGAGGCATGCTGCAGACACTTCAGAGGATACATTGTCTCCGGATGGCTTCCCGTGTGCGGCATGCCACTTCGCTAGCCACGAATTTACAGGACGCCTCACTCCATCGTCCTCGTGTTTTCTTTTCTTACAATTTGGGTTCTGTTGGAGAGTTGATTTCGGTACCTGGTCTTCCAAGGTCTGGTTGTGTCGCCTTTGGAGCAGGTCATCGTAATGGAAAGTCTCCGTCTTCCAGTAGTTCGCATCGTAGATATGCTCACGTATGTTTGGGGTTTGAGGGTTGTTCTTGAACACCTTTGCTAGGTGCAGGACTTCCGTCTTCCAATATTGTATGTTCTCGACGTGCCACCGATCCGCAGTGCGCTGGTCAGTGCAGCATGTCTCCTTCCAAAAAGTTGCTTCTGTTCTCCAGTACGTCCATTCATCAATATTTTGACGCTCGAGATCTGCAAGGTCCCCTAGCAAAGACATGTAGCATCGGGCCTCTGTACGCCAATAGTCGAGGTCGTCGATACTCGACCGATGATCGATCTTCGGTTCGAGGTACTGCATTTCTCGAGCTTTGTGCTCTGCCCAAGTTCGGTAGAAAGTAGAGGGAACCATTGGATCAGGGTAAGGAGGCGTCTTAGGAGTTCGAGGGGATTTGATCACAAGTATTCGACGGCACTGAGAAGGGTCGCGGACAAAAGCTTCGAGTTTGCGGTTGACATATTCGAGGTTAACACTGGGCGAATCAACTCCCCAAGATGGCGTGGCTTTGCCCTCCAGAAATCCCAACATTGAAGGATGATCTGGTGGCACGACTGGGAGACGTTGACAGTTCCCTTGGGCGACTCGAGACCTGGGTCGAGGGTGATTTTAGCGTACACCAACGAATGCCCAGTTTTGGGGTTCGAATCACATGCTCCGTATATTCGGAGCAAAAGTCGCTTGATTCATGAAGAGGAGAGACGTTCAAGCGCCGCAACCGTGGAAAGGTACTTGTGTGACTTGTGTAACATGGCCTGCGCCGACCAAACGAGACGTTGAATTCAGCCAGAAACCATTCCAAAGAGGAAAGTGCGCCGAGGTGCATTTTGACGGTCGCTATTCAACTCACTAATACATCTCAGCCACCAGCAAACTAGGTCGGGGTTATCTAGCTTAACCTGATTCGTGTTTTGGTCTTTAGTGAGTGTGGCGAGATTGATTGTCGAACCTTGTCGTGGCGTGGCTCGTCGAACCTTCTACTACAGATGGTCTTTCTCAGCGATCGCAAGGTAATGACAGCCATATGTGCCACTTTATCTCCCTAGAGCAACCCATTGACCCAGATGTCGGCTTTCTTGTGTCTTGTATAACCGTTTGCCGACTTCCCTGGCACAATCCGAGGCGGAGTGGGTCTGAGGTAATGATGTGGAACTACTACGAAAGTTCGTCTTGTATAGCCGAATGTGGACTTTACCGTATTGGGGCTCGGAAGGTCATCATCATCACTCCTGGAGGAAACTTAGGTATGGCAAAGATGGGGTTACGCGTTCCCTGACAGACATGGACCATTATTGGCACGCTGCTAATGAATTCTTGCACATGGCCAGCCCAATAGTAGGTTCACACCAAGAGACGATCTTTCGTCCTGTATACCCGGTATCGTGACAGCACCGAGGCAGATGCGGAGACTCCGCGAACAAAAGAAGGATGCCACGAGGTATTATATATATGGGGGATGTCAAATCTGGGGTATGGGTTTGCTTTCGCAGTCACTGACAGCACACCGTTCCCCGCCGGCCTACCCTCTGGGACAAGTCAGGAGCAACGAATCCACACAATATTGACTATTCTGAGCAGACAGGGGCAGAGGGAAGTGCACCGGATGGACTCCCGCGACGAAGACCGTGCTGAGAAGGGTGTCGAAGAAACCTCCACTCAGACCGACCACGACATCACGAAACTCGAGTCGGCCCATATTGAGGTCGAGACAAGAGAGGACGGTCACGGTGACGGGTCCGACGCCAGCCATGTCCAATGGACGACTCGTCAGATTCTGGCGACGCTCTCTCTTGCCTTTTTGTATTGTGGTCCGTAAAACTCCCCACTGACAACACCCCTTCTTTTGGAGCCCCGAAAGAGAGATCCTATTCTAGACTAACACCATGTTCATGAGATAGGCTCGCAACTCCCGCTATACTTTGTCTCAGCAAGTCTGTCGTTCATAGTCAAACAGGTTGGCGGCGCCGATATTGATTCATGGCTACCCCAGTCCTACGCGCTGGCCTTTGCCTCGCTGGCACCCTTCAGCGGCTACCTGCAAGACGTCTTCGGACGTCGCTACATCTCCCTCACCGGCGGCCTCGTGCTGTGTGTCGGCCTCATCATCGTCGGCACCGCGCGAACCATGGCCCAGGGGATCGTGGGCTGCACGATTTCCGGAGTGGGTGCCGCCATCGGCGAGCTAACGGCGTTGGCGGGCACGTCTGAACTCGTCCCCGTGAGGAAAAGAGGCTGGTATCTAGGCCTGGTCACTGGGTGCATCCTGCCCTTCTCGCCGTATGCGATCTATACCACTGAGCTCGGTATGCATTCAACGTGGCGGTGGGGGATCTGGATAGCCTTGTAAGTTTTCCCCTCCCTGGCCCATTCTTTCCTCGACTTTGTCGTTTCGTCACATTGGGAGTCGGAGCGAACTTTCGAAACTGATATACTCCCGAACATAGAATCTGGAACGCAATAGCCACTGCCGGAATCGCCGTCTTCTACTTCCCACAGTCTCAGGTCCGTGGACAGCGGAAGACGGTCCGCGAGATCCTCCCCAAGATAGACTTTATCGGAGCCCTGCTATCGATAGGCGGTCTCACGTTATTGTACGATTTCCTCAGCGCATATCCCCTCCCAAGCTAGATACTAACAGAATAACAGCCTGGTAGGGACCACCGCGGGCGGGTACACGGCTCCATGGAAGAGCTCGAAAGTGCTCGGTCCCTTGGTGATTGGTATTGTCATGATCATCGGTTTTGGAGCCTGGGAGTGGAAGGGCGCGAGCTTCCCGATGGTGCCTCGTGAGTTATTTGCCGGCCACCGCATCGTCGCCATGAGCTTCCTGGTCTCGTTCGTGGCTGGCATGTACTTCTACGGGCTCCTCAACTTCTTCCCCGTCGTCTACTTGGACGTCTACAGACCTGATCCCATCCAGTCCGGTCTCAAGGGTGTCATCGCCTCCCTAGGAGTGACCGCAGGAGCCGTGGTGCCAAACATGCTGCTGTCGGTGTGGAAAAACCACAACAGATGGATCCTCTTTGCGTGCGCCGTTCTCACGACGGCGTTCGGGTCAGCGCTTGTGACCACTACGCCGGAGAATCCAGTCCAGACCGTCGCGCTGGCAACCGTCGCTGGCTTCGGGATTGGTGGCGTCGTCGCAATGGCCGTCACCACCGCCGTGGTGGGTTCACCGGACGACCTGATCGCGACGTGCGTGGCTCTCTCCCTGTCCATCCGCACCGTGGGCGGCTCCGTCGGCACCGCGATCTACTCCAACATCTTTGGCACCAAACTCAAGCGCACCCTGCCGAAATACGTGGCCACATACGCCGTCGGGGCCGGGCTGCCTCTGGCCTCAGTTCCCACGTTCGTCGAGCTTTTCCTAACGGCGCCGCAGAATCTGTCTTCCCCTGCAGCCCCCTCGGAGGTCCCTGGTCTCAGTGCAGCAGTCATCCAGGGCGCCACGGTCGGTGCGCGCTGGGCATATGCCGAGAGCCTCAAGTATGTCTGGTACACGGCGCTGCCGTTTGGGGTCTTGTCGTGCGTGGCGTGCTTGCTTATTGGGAACTCGTCGACGTTGATGACGAATCGCATTGCTGCGAATGTTCGGCGTTGAGAAGGGTAGGTGGGAGGAGGGGGAGGGGAGGGAATAGGAGGGAATGAAAGCTCATGTCGTTGAAGGATGGATGGCGGATGAAGTGGGACGTGGAGCTAATATCAGGACTATTTAGTAGTCTTCCTGCGTAATACCAGAAGAGACAGTCCCGTTAATGGCTTTCCCATCAGCGGAATAATTCAAAATGGTTAACACTGTTCATAGGTGGACATTGTCACCCGTCCTTTTCAAGATATGAAATGATACTGATCTGGTCAATGGTCAGTGGTCTCTGGTCTCTGGTCAGTGGTCAGTGGTCAGTGGTCATAGAGGTCATTCCTCCTCCTCCTCCTCCTCCTCCTCCTCCTCC